GCCAGCCCTATTCCTAGGCCCATATATCATAAAATCAAGCTGAGTACCACCCCACCCATCCCACCACACCCATCCCACCGTACCAGACCAGGTTTTGCTTTCCCTCCTTTCCCAGCTTGCGTAAAGGCATAGTCATCCACTTGTCCCAAGGCTAGGAGGCCTTGTGTCCTTGATTTCTCCTTGTCCCCATTCCATCCAGGCTGGCCCATGCACATTCACAGCCTAACACAAGCACAGGTCAGCTCTGCCCATTTCTCATCTCCATTCCCATCCTTTAGGCTCCTAACCTCCCTGAAGGCTCACCCATATTCCCTTGCTCTCCAAAGCCTTTGGGGTACCCCTTGCCATTTTTTTTTTTATGGAGGGCAACTTGCTGCCTGATCTCAATTTAAGTGTATGACCACCAACTTAAGAGAGAGGAGTAAAAGAGAGGAATGGACCAGATCTTACTTTATCCATCCATCCAACCAACAGATATATAGCTCTTAGAGCTAACTGGAAAAAATTATACACAAGGAGTGGGGAGAGAGAGAGAGAGAGAGTATGCATGAAGGATTGACAAAAAGCACCACTCCTAAGGGAGAACAATTAGAAAAGTAACCTTTCCCCAAAACTGAAATGGTCCTACTGGGTACTTAGCCTGGTGGGCAAAGCAAAGATTAGAGTTTAGCTCTCACTGGCCCCTTCTGCTTTGAAGTCCTTGCCATTCTTATATGGAAGAGTCCCCTTGGACCCACAGGCAAGCTTCTGGCTCTGCCAGAGTATGTTCTTCCCTCCCCTCAGCTCACCTTTGCCCTTCCTGAAGTCCCTTTCCTCCATTACCAAGATCTTACTGTCACCAGCTGGCTCATAAGCCACCCTCCAGATCCTCTCCATGTGTCAGCAGAGGCTTCCTGGCAGCCATAATCAAGTACTGTGTTAAACTAATCCAGTTAGCCTGAGGGGCAAGAACAAAGGGCTATGGCCAGGCTTAAGAATCAGTGTCCTCTCAACCACTGGCTTTGTTTTTGTTTTACTTTGAAGTTACAGATGATTCTGAGGCACCCTGGGAATTGAACCCTGGTCCCCTGGAAGAGCAGCCAGTGCTCTTAGCAGCTGAGCCATCTCTCCAGCCCCAACAGCAATTCAGTTGGCCCTCTGTATCAAACAGTGAGCTCCAGTCTATGAAGTCAGCACGCTCCACAGCACAATATGTGAACAATATTGGTGATGTGAACCTGTAATCCCATAAGCAGGACACTAAAGGAAGAGGACCCTGACTTCCAGGTCAGGCAGCTTGGACCAATGAGATGGCTCAGTAAGCAGAGGTACTCACCACCAAGCCCGACAACCCTTTTACCCTCCAAGCCCACATGATAGAAGAACCAACTCTTGTGCAAGTTGTCCTCTGACTTCTACACACAATGTAGCATCTGTATGCCCCCCACACATATAAATAATAAAGAGGGAGGGGGAAGAGAGGAGGAGAAGGAGGAAGGAAACAAGGAAGGGGGGGAGAAGGACAGGAAGGAGAAAGGGAGGCAGGGAAGAAGAGAGGGGAAGGGAAAAAAAAACAAAGGAAGGTAACTTTAAAATTAAAAGAAAAATGAGGCAGAGTGTGGTAGTGCACATCTTTCATCCCAACACTCAAGAGGTAGATACAGATAGATGTCTATGAGTTCAAGGTCAACATGGTCTACATAGTGAGTTCTGGGATAGCCAGGGCTGTGTAGAGAAACCCTGTCTCAAAAAAGAGAAAGAAAACTGGCACACCTTTAATCCCAGGACCAGGGAGGAAGAGGCAGGTGGATCTCTATGAGTTTGAGACATAGCAAATTCTAGGATACCCAGGACTACACAGTAAGACACTGTCTCAAACAACAACAAAACTGTGTGTGTGTGTGTGTGTGTGTGTGTGTGTGTGTGTGTGGGTGTGTATTTTAATCCCAGGTGGATCTCTAAGTTTGAGGCCACTGGTCTATAGAGTGAGTTCCAGAACAGCCAGGACTGTTACACAGAGAAACCTTGTCTTACAACACCCCCCAAAACAAAACAAAACAAAACAGCATACTCCCCTCAAAAAAAAAAAAAAAATGGAGAGGACCCAGCAGCTAGGGATGAAGCAAGAAAAAGAAAGGAAAGGAGGAAGGGGGATGAAGAGGAACAATACAGGGAGGAAAGGAAAAGAAGGAGGGAGGGAGGAGCAGGGGAGGAAGAAAGGAACTGGACACACATGCCTCAAATCTCAGCTCTCCTGACGCTGGGGCAGCAGGATCAGGCCTGCTTGCAGCTTTAGCTACATAATGAGTTTACACTAACCTGATTTCCATGAGACCCCGACTGGAAAACATTAGGGCATGGTGGTGAATCCCTTTAACCCCGGCATTCAGGAGGCAGAGGCAGGCAGCCTGGTCTACAGAGTGCATTCCAGGACGGTCAGGACTATAAGGAGAGACTCAGTCTCAAAAAACAAAAAAGAAACAACAACAAAAAGCAAAAGAAAAATTTCTGAGTATATGCAGGCCTTTCCCCCCTTGTTATTCCCCCAAGCAATGCAGTATAACAAATACTTAGCATTCACATCACATTGGGGGTCATAAGTAATCTAGAGATGTTTTAACTGCACAGTGGGGGGGACTATGCAAACACGGCACCCTTTTATACAAGGGACTGAAGCATCACCCATGGGTCCTAGAAGGAACTCCCAGGATACAGCCACAAATAACTGCACCCTACAAGTTGAAGAAGCCCTGTCATTGATCTCATGATGACTCACTAAAGTGAGGTACTGCCATTCATTCATTCCCACTTTTATGAGAAGCTGGCTGAGCCCTAAGGGAGTAAGGACATCTCATCCAGGCCTTGGGTGATCAAGTCAGAAACCTGATACACTACGTTTTCTGACCCCAAATCTACTCAGGCCAAAGTTCTAGTTTTAAGTCACCTGGCCCAGGAGAAGTGCAACAGTAATGGAGAAGGAAGTCATCCCAGAGGGAGGGGCCCAGGTACAAGGGAGGATCTGCTCAGCTGACTCAGAAATCTAAGTGGGATTCTGTGGCTCAGGCAAGTCAGAGATGAAGCAATAAGGCTGGGAGAGACACACCTGGTATGTCCGGATTTAGGACATTTCTACAGGCCAGTGGGGAGTCACTGAGGCCCTTGTTGTAAGCATATGACGGGACCAGACACTTCTGTGACCTAGAACAAGGCTGAATATGTAGAGCGCCTGCATTCGGATGCCTTTGAGAGGTTCCCATGGCAACAGCTAGCTCATCTGTGATCTGTCCTTGGGCCCAGCAAAGGAGACTGGGAGCAGCTCTCAAATGTACTACTTTCCCTAACTCTGAGCAGCTAACAGGGACCAGAGGTGACTCAGTCCACTCCACCTGTCATTCTATCACAAGTGGCAGGTGGAAGGGGGTGGGGCCTAGAGGCGGCAGGCGGCATAGCCATAGGTGGTAAAAGGCTGGGTTGAGGGCTTGTGTGGAGCCTAGAAAGGCAGTGGGAGAATAAGCAATAGGAACAGCAGAGAGAAAAGACAGGCCGTGGCCCCCAGGGAAGCAGTTTTGGGGAGTGGCTAAAGGAAAAATAAGTTTTCCACTTAAAAGTAGAAGGCCCTGGAAAGAATGTGGTAGTGTATGGCTGTAGTCCCAGCAACTCGGGCACCAGGGCAGAAGGTTTGAAAGTTTGAGGCCAGCCAGGGTCACACAGCAATATCCTATCTCAAAAAAAAAAAAACAAGAGGTGCCACTCAGTGACAAAGTCTCTGCCCAACACACAGGGAGCCCTGGGTTACCTCCAGGGGAGGGGAGGAGACGGGAGGACAGAGGAATGGGTGAGAAGGCCTCACTGGTTCTGATGCAATACACAGAGGCTTTTGTTTGTTTGAGTCCGGGTTTCTCTGTATTGCTTTGGAGGCTGTCCTGGAACTTGCTCTGTAGACTAGGCTGGCCTTGAACTCACAGAGATATAACTGCCTCTGCCTGCTCCCCTCCCCCATAGTGCTGGGATTAAAGGTGTGTGCTACCAACATCCGGCCACAATAGGCTTTTTCAAAAAAATGTGTATGAGTGTTTTGCTTGCATGTAGGCCTGTGCACCATGTGTGTGCCTGGTGCCCAGGAGGCCAGAAGAGAGCATTGGGTCCCTGGGGACTAGAGTTACACACTGGTGAGCCCACATGTGAGTACTGGAAATCAAACTTGGGTCCTCTGGAAGGGGGCTGTTGAGCCGTCTCTCCAGCCCCACACAATAGACTTTACAAATGTTTGTGGAATGAGCCAACCTTGTTCCAATTCCACCTGTCTTGTCTAACACCAGAATCGAACAAGCTAGTGCACTTCAAAACCTTTACACAGTAGCATTAAAATATTGCTAAACAGGGGGCTGGAGAGATGGCTCAGAGGTTAAGAGTATTCTGCTCTTCCAGAGGACTGGGGTTCAATTCCCAGCACCCACGTGGCAGCTCATAGCTGTCTGTAACTCCAGTGCCAGAGGATCTGACACCTTCACACACATGCACATAAAATAAAGTTAAATAAATTCATTTTTTAAAATATAGTTAAATAATAGAGATCAGTCTCAACTCTCTTCTCGCATCTATAGTTCCTACTCCCCCCTTTAACTGCCCCCGCCTGAGTAGGCACTCTACCCACATTGCCTCTGCCCACTGCACTCCCTGGGAGATTTCTAAGGGGAATCTAGAAGCCCAGGGTGCTGCCAATAGAACTCAGGAGGACTTCCTGAAGAATAGCCAGGGGCATTCTGGGAGTACTTGATAGCTAGTCAGTGGGTAGGGGGTCTGAGATGTGGGGTGGTGACCAGGGGCAGGAGGGGGGCAGTGTGAAGCAATGTGGAGACAGAGTGCCACCTAGTGGCTCCCTCACGTCTGCAGACGCAGGCACAGGCTAGGCTGTTCCCAGCCCTCCATCCATAGCACACTCCAAAGGAACAGCTGAGTAGTCGAAGCAGGGTGTCTGTCTCAGTGCTTTATTTACTGTTTCTCAGCCCTCAGTCATCGTCCTGAGGATAAGAACACCACGATGACCCGGCCTGAGGCCACCCAGCCTGGACTGGAGCCCAGGGTTCCACAGGGGTTCAGTTAGGGCGACTGTGAGACAACTGGTGGCTGGATTCACCGCTAGGCTCCTTAAGAAAGGTGGGTGGGCGTGGGGGAGGGGGAGGGCCTGCCAGGGGAAGGCTGAGAGGGGGAGGGGAAGGTTGAGTGCCGTATCTGGGTTGTGCCTATCCACTGGCGGGCCAAGTGCAGTGTCCCCTGCACTCAAGTGGCAGTTCAGGTGGGGAGGCAAAAGCCACAAGAGAAGCATGATGAGCGGGGACTTCGTGCTTGGGGACAGCTGCCTCCAAAGCTAACAAAACCCCAGGGCAAGCCTGGAGCTATATTTCCAGCCAGCGGGCCCCAGTGCAGGGTTGTAGGCTGCACTGTGGTCTGGGGGGGGGGCAGCCGCAAAAAAGGAGAATGGCTCTCTCGCTTCAGAATCAGAATTCTCCCCAGCAGGCTCCCTAGAAGGCCCCGACACACTCAGTACCCAGGGCCTTCCGCTTTTGTATGTATTTGCATACAAAGACAGCTCAGCAGAACCAACTACGGCTTTTTTTGTAGCGAAAGTGGTTCCAGTGCAGGGTCAAGTGCTTTGCTCTCTTCTGTGAAGTACATCCGAGGACTAAAGAGCCAAGAGGGACCCGCTGGACAGCGGGAGCACAGCTTCTAGGGTCACGTAATTCCAGGGATCTGGAGCTGGGTATGTATGTGCCAAGGCCATTTGTTACAGCAGCGGCAGGGCTTAGCCGTGGTGGTAGTGGTGGGGATGGTGGCCGTGCTCTCCCCCGGGTCCCGCAACTCTGTGGTTCCAGGGGTGCTTCTCCTTCTTCTTTGATCTGAGGGGAGACAGGGAACAAGGCAGGGAAAGGCCTATGGGAAGCAACGCCACCGAGATGGAAAAGCCCTATTCTTCTGAGGGAAGCCAATCCAGGCTGCTGCCACCAAGCATGGGAGATGCTGGGCTTCCAGGATGGCTCTGCTGGGAGGGGGGAGGGGGAGGGGGAGGGGGCGGGGCGGGAGGAAGGGGCCCTGTAGGGAAAGGCAAGGTGGGAAAAGGGGTCCTTAGCTCTAAAGGAGACCTCTCGGGACGACTGTAGCCCTTCATGGGAAGACAGGGATGTACCCAGAAGCCTTCTCCAAGGCCTGGGATTCAGAAATGAAGAGAGGGACTCAAGCTAGGGTCCCAATGCCCCAGGCCCCCACCTCTTCTTCAAAGCCTCGTCTCCAAAGAAGTGGCTGAAGATGAAATCCTCAAAGTCATCCACTTCATCGTCATCACCCGTCTGCTTCAACGCCACCTCCTCTAGGCTGTCCTCCAGGGCATCCACAAAGTCCCGGAAGCGAAGGCGGTCATGCCTGAAGATGCCATCTTCTCCAAAGTAAGCAGGTGAGAGGGGCAGCTCTTTGGTCAGTTGCCCAGCCCAGGGCAGCCTGGCCAAGTACGTTCTCAGCACAGAGGCCAGCTCCTGTTGCCTCACAGGGGCTAGCTCCGTGCCAAAAAGAGCCAGGCCCTCCTGCCGGGCGCAGTCATCTACACCGGAGCAGCCCTGAGGGGCCCGGTACTTGCGCCTCAGCAGCTCTTCCCAGGAGGACCGAGGGTCAGGGCCGTTGTCTTTCCCCCAAGAATTTTTCTGCCTTTCTCCAGAGTAGGTGTCCCCACTTTTCCTAGGATGTATCTTGGAGTCCTGTTGCTTGACATCCTTTCTGTTCCCCAATTCTTCTACCCTTGGCTTGTCCTCCTTCCAGCCCCCTGCTGGCTCCCCGTTCTCATCCCTCCAGCTCCTCTTCCTCTCCCGGCCAGACTCCTCCTTCCTATGCTTCCAGTGCTCATCCCCCCGGCCAGACTCCTCCTTCCTATGCTTCCAGTGCTCATCCCCCCGGCCAGACTCCTCCTTCCTATGCTTCCAGTGCTCATCCCCCCGGCCAGACTCCTCCTTCCTATGCTTCCAGTGCTCAGCCTTCTGGTCCCTCGGCTCACTGTGCCACTTCTCCTTTCTGCTCCACCCCCTGGAATTCTGGAAGTGGGGCTTCTTCTGGTACGAGGCCTCTGACTCATTGGCAGGAATGCCAGGGTTATGACCCCAATTCTCTAGGCCCTGCAATGTCTGGGCCAACATGTGACCAAGTTCGGTCAGGCCAGCACGAGCGGGGTCTCCTTGGCCAGCATTCCGCAAGCCCCTCTGCAAGTCTCGGTGCACAGACCCCAGCAGCTGCCACTGCCTTTGTAACTCCTGCCTTAGGGCCTGGGCTTCAGCCTCTAGCCGCTTCTGCTGCTCTAATAAGCTGGGGTCTGGCTCCTGCCCCTTGTGGCCTTGCTCCTTGGTGGCTTTATCACCTTGGCCTCCACCCCAGTTGAGACACACCCCATCTACACCCCGGACACAGTTAGCCTCTAGGCCTTGGAGTCGGGCCCTTAGCTGCTGTAGTTCTGACTCTAGGGCCTGGTGGGAGGTCTTGCCCTGCTGCAGGGCCTCCCGGAGCCGGGCATTCTCCTTTTCTAGCCCTTGGGGCTGGTGCAACAGGCTCTGAAGCTCTTCTTTCTGAGCCTAGAATGTGGTTAAGAACAGAAGAAAACAGGAGTCCTTGTCAGGGTGAGCACAATGCCTTCCACCCCAATTCTATTCTATTAGAGTGGACAGGGGCTAGTTCTGTTGGTAGAGCCAGATGGGTCCCCCCTCTTCTTCATCCCTCATCTGAGCTAGTTCCTGAGATGGTCAAATCCCACCCCAGCATCTATGTCCTTCACAAGCACATACTGTTCAGATCCACCACAGCCAATAGCAGCTTTCCTACTCCTGCTTCCACCGCCTGTATCTAGGACAGGCACTGGCCATTGATCTAGCACTTGACATGAGCTGTGGCGCGTTCTCCAAGTGCTCCAGGAAGATCATAGCCATCGATCAGAGAGGTGGCCGGCTGTGTAAACAGGTATAGCAGCCCTGACAGTCCTTAGCATGAGGGAGGTAAACTGACCAAGAAGACACCCTGACCACAGTGGCAAAAGGGTGGGGCTCAAGGGTCAGATGAATAAGGAAAGCTCCTTCTTGGGGGAACCCCACTAGGACATATACCTGGGAAAGGTGAGCAGATGAACCCCCTCCCTCTTGCTAGGGCTCACCTGCAGCTGGGCCTGCAGCAGCCGGATATCCTGGTTCTCCTTGGCCAGCTTGTCCAGCAAAAGCCCCATGCTCTGCAGGCTGGGGCTACTGTCTGGTAGTACTGAGGCCTGCAGCTGCTCTAGCTTGTCCTGAGGGCAGAGGAACAGCCATGCTCCCTCCCAGGCAGGGCAATCTGGATATTCCCCAGCAGGCCCCACACACCTGTGGAAAACCCATACATACCTGCCTGTTCCCTATAGTATCTGCCAAGTCAGTCTCTGGCCCAGTATCTGGGAAGACCTGCAACTCTGCTTCTTCCCTAGAGCCTGTGGGTAAGTGAGCATCTGAATCCAGCCCCATGATCCATAGAGCCCATCACCCCCTCTCCCAGTCACCCCTCCTCCCCCCCCAACACACCCCATGCCTCACAGGTCTGCCGAGCTAAAGGACAAAAGTCACCCTGAACAGCTGACAAGGTCAGCAACTGAGGAATAATACGCAACCCTGAACGCCTTACCGGAGGACCCATACAGACTCCCATTACCAAGACAGAAAGCAAGCCAGGACCTCTGCCACTCACCAGCCTCAGGCTCCAACAATGCACCTGAAGGTGAAGACAGGTGAGGCCCTCGGGGAAGCAAGGAGAGGTAAGGACAGGGCAGGGCAGCAAGGCAGGGCCAAAGGACAGGCTGGAGGCCCTAGCCGGGAGTACTACTCACCAGAGAACAGAAGGATCCCCAGGCCCAGAAGAACCAGGGTCCCCAGGAGACACGTGTTGAGGGAAATGCCCAGCTCGCCTCCTACACCCTCGCCCCTGGCCTGGTCCTCCACACCCACAGGGATTGTGGGCTGGGCTGGGCTGGACTCCCGGCCCCTCCGTCTCCGCAGACCTTCCACATCCACATCCGTGTCATCGTCACTGCTGGAGCAGTGGCGCTCTCTCCACACTGGAGGAAGGGCAGGGGATAGGGCAGGAAGGCAGGGGACAAGCACAAGAGAGCAGTGAAGAGGAGGGTGGCACAGAAGCCCCAGCCCAGGCCACAGATAAGGCACACGAAGACTGCCCAGTTAGCCTGGGTACTGACTGACTGCCCTGTCTAGTCTAGAAGCAAAAGAACTATCCTTTTGATGAGGGGTGTCCTCTGTATGCTGTAAATATATGTTTCTCTTATTGGTTGATGAATAAAGCCAATGGGCAGGCAGGATTTAGCCAGGTGGGGAATCCAAACAGGGATAGAGAAAGGCGGAGTCAGGGAGATGCCATGTAGCTGCTAAGGAAGCCAAAGGTCCAGGCATCACATGTAAACCAAGACCACATGAAATGCACAGATTAATGGAAATGGGTTAATAATTAAGAGAGAGCTAGCCTACAGGAAGCCTGAGCTGTTGGCCAAACAGTTTATAATATAAGCCTCTGTGTGTTTATTTGGGACTGAATGACTACGGGACCAGGTGGGACAGAAGTTTCCATCTACATCCATCCATCAACAAGCACAAGAGCCAATTCCATGCTAAAATCACTCTCCTCCTTCCAGTGTGAGCCTCACCTCAAGTTTCTATACAGGGTGCCCCCCTCTTGGGTCCCCTTTGAGTTCCGTGGCCATCACGATGCTTTGGCTTTGCCCTGTCCTAAATTAACAATTTCTCTAGTGTGTTCTTTCCCTTCCCACAAGGTCAAAAAAATCTCTCCACCCCTCTCCTCCCTCCTCTCTGTGGCCTCCATAGCACCCCAGGCTTGCCTATCTGACTGTAAGTCCTCTAGCCAAATTCTTCTGGGTTCCCCCAGGGGAGGAAAAAACAATCAACACACTCTCCTCCAAATTCATCTTTCCTAGTGTGCCCCCAGACTGCTGCCTTTCTGATTAACCTCAATCTTCCCTCTCCACCCCACATAGACAGTTGGACAGTTCTCCAGAGACAGCCTCCACAGTTTACTCTCCTCACAGGCTCCTAGCATCTGCCTTAGGTCTCTCCTCTCCCTGACTCCTAAAGCTGCCCCCTTAATGGCCCCAGGCCCCAACCTCTTCCTCCCCTGGCCATCCTGAAAAGATGGAGGGCAGGGGGAGGCATGTCACATCTGCCACTGCCTAGGGCAGACCTTGGACTAGCCCCTCTTCTGTTGATGCCAAAGCTTTGGAACGTTTTCTCCTGACCTATTCTAACTCGAGTCTCTTCTCAAATGGCACCTCCAACTATATCCCTGCCTGCTGTAGAATAATCCTCTTGAATACTGTACAGATTTGTCACTCAAACTGGTTAAATAAAAGAATGATTGGCTAGTAGCCAGGCAGGAAGTATAGGAGGAGCCACCAAACTAAGGATGATGGGAAGGAGAAGGGTAGAGGCTGGAGTCCCCAGTCAGACACAGAGAGAGCAAGATGGGCATGCCACACTGAGAAAAGGCGCCGCTACATGGCAGAGTGTAAATAAGGAATATAGGTTAATTTAAATGTAAGAGTTAGCAGTGACAACACGCCTGAGCTATTGGCTGAGCATGTATAAGTCTCAGTGTGTTTAATTGGGAGCTGCTGGTGGGATGGAAACTTCTACCAACACCAGTCCCTCCCTCTTTTTGGGGGGTGGGGTGGAATGGGGGAGGTTGAGACAGGGGTTTTTGTTGTTGTTGTTGTTGTTGTTGTTTTGTTTTTTGTTTTTGTAGCCCTGGCTGTCCTGGAACTCACGCTGTAGAAACAGGCTGGAACTCAGAGAGATCCACCTGCCTCTGCCTCCCAAGTGCTGGGATTAAAAGTGTGCACCACCACCACCACCCAGCAACCCTCATTTTTACCCAGCCCCTGATTGAGCTGCCTCCACTCCCCGCCCACCTCCAGAACTACTGAGTTATGAGGCTTTTTGTATCCCTCACACTTTCATTTGCTCTCTAGCTCAGACCCTGAGCCTCCCACCGCATCTCATCATGGGTCCATGGCCCCACTAAAGAGAGCACTCTGGGAATGAAGGTTGTGTTCTAGAACAGCAGTTCTCAATGTGTGGGTTGCAACCCCTTTGGGGGTCACATATCAGATATCCCGAATATCAGATATTTACATTACAGTAGCAAAATTATAGTTATGAAGTAGCAACAAAGTAATTTTATAACCTGGTGGTGGTGGCACACACCTTTAATCCTAGTACTCGGGAGGCAGAGGCAGGTGGGTCTGTGAGTTCGAGGCCAGCCTGGTCTACAGAGAGAGTTCTAGAACAGCCAGGGCTACATAAAGAAACCTTGTCTCAAAAAATAATAATAATGGTTGGAGGGTCACCACAACATAAAGAACTATATTTAAAGGGCTGCATCATTAGGAAGGTTGAGAACCACTGTTCTAGAAGCAAGAAAAAGAGGGCACATAGAAGAGAGGACACAATCAACCAGATACAGGCCATCATTCAAGCTACCTAATTCCTCTGAGGCTCAGTGTCATCAGGGATGATAATGAGGAAAGAGGGTGGGAGGCCCCAAATTCAGGGCCTTAGGTTCCTCATATACTCAGTAGAGAAGCTTGCACCTTCTACTTATTTTAACTTTAAAAAAAAAAAAATTGTATTTTTTTTTTTTTTATGTGCACTGGTGTTTTGCCTGCATGTATATCTGTGTGAGGGTGTCAGATCTTGGAGTTACAGACAGTTGCAAACTGACATTAGGTACTGGGAATTGAACCCAGGTCCTCTGGAAGAGCAGCCAACCGCCAAGCCATCTCTCCAGTCCCTATTTAAATTTTTTCATGTATGTTTATTTTATCAAATGCATGAATGTTTTGCCTGCATGTATGTCTGTGCACCATGTGTGTGCCCAGGGAGGTCAGCAGGGGGCATCAGGTCTGTAGTAACTGGAATTACAGATGGTTCTGAGCTGCCTTGCAGGTGCTGGAATTGCAGGTCCTCTGGAAGGGCAGCCAGTGCTCTCACCTGCTGAGCATCCCTTCACCTCCCCCAACCCCCACCCCCGCCATACTTTCTAAAAGGTGGGAACCAGGAGACAAGAAGGGCCCTGACCTGCTTTGGGACTTGAGGGCAGGTTCTGTGGAGGGCTCTCATTCTCCAGGTCCTGTGTGTCTGGTCCCAGGCTTGTCACCACCACAGGAGCCTCTGGAGAATCTTCCTGGACAAGCGTGTCTCCAGGGGGCCCCATCCCATGAGCATCATGTCCCAGAGTACCCTGATGTGGATACAGCTGTGAGAAGTGCTCTCCCCACTTGCTTCCCAGCCCCAGTGAAGTGCCTCACCTTGGCCTTCGTCTCCTCAGGCAGAGTAGCACTTTCATTCCCGGAACCTTCTGTCTGGAAAAGCTTCCCTGTGGTGGAAGAGAAAGCCCAGAAAGGCCCACAGCCCTAACCTGAACTTCACTGTAGCCCTCTAGCACACAGCCCAAGCACTTTGGAGTGCTGCAGCTCATAAACCAAGGTTAGCAGCAAACAGCCTACGTGCTCACCCTTCCCCCAACTAAAAGGAAGCCCCCAAAGACAGAAGATAGGGTATGCCCAACCCTTCACAAGGCCCCATTACCTTCTCCGTCCAAGGTCCCAGTTAGTTCTTCGCTATCCGCCTGGGAGGGGTCTGAAAGGGCCTGAGAGGCTCCCTCGGGTTCTATGTCCATCCTAGGTGCTGGGCCCAAAGTCTCCACAGGCAGGTTCTAGGGAGGGAGGTGAGCACCAGGGTACCTTGGCAGGACATCAGGACAAAACCAGGATGCCCTGATGGGAGCTGAAGGGCTAGCTGCCCTCAGACACCTCAGCTCAGATCTCAAACACGCTGGAGCGATATCCTACCTGTCTCCTCCACCCAGCAATCCCTAACCTTCCTCACTGCTCCAGAGGACATGTTTCTGTGAAGTCACAGCCTTGAGCAAGGATTTGGGACCAGGGGGATTAGCTTAGCAGTGCCTGAGGTACCTGCCCCCCCCCATCATTAGCGCTGCCCTCCCCATGAGCCAACAACCCAGTCTCAACCCAGATCCAGGTTCTTCTGAGTCCTTTCTCATTGGCCCACACTCCCCTCACACCATCTCTCAGCAGCTACTGGCAGAAGCCCAACTACCCCCAGCCACAGGCAGCCTGATCCCATGGTGCTTGGCTCACAGCCTGGCCCTTTAGCTCTTTGGCTTTTTTCTACATATAACTCCTTGGCAGCCTGCCACCTGCCCACCCCATCTAGGACTCTGCTCTTCCTCTCTTTGTTTTAATCTTGTGCTCTCTCTTAATCTCTGTGTGTGCATGCACACATCCATGCAGGCACAGGCACATACCAAAGTATGAGTGTGGAGGTATGAAGTCAACTTTAGCTAGGTGTAGCGGCATAGGCCTTTAATCCCAGCACTCGGGGAGAGACATGAATTTCTGCAAATTTCAGGCCAGCCTGATCTACATAGCAAGTTCCAGGTCAGTCAGGGCTACACGGCCGGCAAGACATTGTCTCAAAGGGAAGGGCTAACTTTGATGTCAGCCTTTACCTTCTACCTCTTTTGAGACACATCTCTTTGCAGACTAGCTGGCTCTCGGACTTCTAAGGATTCTCCTGTTTCCAACTCCTATCCCATCATAGGAGCACCAAGATTACAAATCTGTACTACCATATTCAGGGTTACAGGTTTGGGAGATCTGAACCCAAAGCCTCATGTTTATGTGGCCAGTGCTTTACCCACTGAGCCATCTCCCTCAACCCTCCAAAAATGAATAGATGATAGACACACACACACACACACACACACACACACACAGATGGGAGCAGGGCATCTCTATGTAGCCCTGGGATGTCCTGGAACTCACTCTGTAGACCAGGTTGACCTCAGACTCACAGACAGCCACCTGCTTCTGCCTCCTGAGAACTGGGGTTAAAGGTGTGCACCACCATACCCAGCTCAAGAATAATTTTAACCTCAATATATTTCTTTACAATTTACAAATCTCATTTTATCAGGGTTACCCTTGCAAGACAAGGATTACAATTCTGGTTTATAATGGAGGATGGACAGATGAAACACTTGGCCCAGGTCCCCAGCTGTCAACAAAGGCACCATGACAGGAGACCAGGACTGACTGAGCACAGATCCTATTTTAATCCCTGCCAGTGAGCACTGGTTCTTGTATTCTGCTCCAGGGTCATTGCTGAGGTCAACGCCTCCTCCCCAGCTGGACTCCTAAAAGGCACCTCAAACTCAACATGTCTAAATGGAGTTCTGTGGCCTCTCTAGCTACTGTTTTTTATTTAATTCATTAATTTGTTGATATAAGATTTCACGTATCCTGCACTCCTGACCTTCCTGCCTCCATCTCCCAAGTAGTAGGATCATAGCTTGCTCTACCGTGTCCAATTCCTCTGAGTGGTTCTAAGGACACCTCTGAAATCCCTTTGACACATCCTCATCTGTAGTGAGATATTCACCCTGCCCGTACCTGTTGCACTGATCATGCCTGTTGGGGGTGGGGACAGGTGTGGATGTGACCTGGGAGAACTCTTGCTTCCTGGTTGGAGACAGGGAGCATCTGGAGGCATCCTTGGGATGGGAACCTGCTGGCGGTCATCTGTCTCTGTTGTAAGTTATTTCTCCCTGAATAGACATCTATTCAGCCTATCTGTTTTTCCCGATCCTTATTTTTCCACGATACTCATCATACCTCTCTAGCTATTAGTTCCCAATCCACCAATTCTTCTCCCTTCTTGGTGGCATTAGGAGCCCTCTGGTATCCTGTTCTACCAAATGCCACCTGGTAGGCTGCAAGAGCTTTGGAAGTGCTATTCCTGTTCCCACCCAGCCACACAGAGGCTTGGTCCCCTGCTGGTAACACTGAGTGCTGGGCTACTCTCCAGCTCAGCAGCTCTGCACTGTCTGTTCATCAGATGACACCTGTGCTGGCTAATTTTATGTCAACTTGACACAGGCTAGAGTCATCTGGGCGGATAGACCTTCAACTGAGAAAATGCCTCCATAAGATCAGACTGTAGGCAAGCCTGTAGAGCATTTTCTTAACTAGTGATTGATGGGAAGGCCCAGCCCATCGTGGGTGGTGCCACCCCTGGACTGGTGGTCCTGGGTTCTATAAGAAAGCAGTCTGAGATGCCATGAGGAACAAGCCAGTAAGCAGCATCCCTCCATGACCTCTGTATCAATCAGCTCCTGCCTCCAAGTTCCTGCCCTGTTTGAGTTCCTACCCTGACTTCCTCAGTGATAGACTGTTAGCTGAAGTATAAGCTGAATTAAACCCTTTTGTCTCCAAGATGCTTTGGTCATGGTGTTTCATCATAGCAACAGTAACTCTAAAACAACATCTGATGCCTCCTCAGGCCCTTCGAGCCTCTTCTGGGGTTCCCAAGCTCTAGCTTGCAGCAATCCTATGTACCCTAAGGCTCTTCAGTCTCCTCAACATGGCTCCCCTTTGTCACCTCAAGCCCTGACTCTTGCTGGTCTCACACCAGAAGTTCCTCTCTTCTCTCAGCTTATCCATCTGGTCCCTTCTTCCTATATATGGCCCAAGCCCCAACTCAGAGCTATGTGCCAGGTCTCCTCCTGCCATGGGAGCCCTATAGGAGCCAACAGAGGCAATGCAGATGACCATCAGGACCAAGAGAACAGGCCAGATCCAGAAAACAGTGCCGAGAGCCAGACCAACCCAAGACTTTCCCAGAGGTCCTCATGAAAGTACAAAGGGACCTTTAGTTCTATGACTCTGTCCATGAGCAAACTTGACAAAGTTGGTCTAGGGTTGGAGCCAGTGCCTCTAAGGAGTCAAGGTTGTATTCTTGTGACATGATTCTTCCCCCTATGGTTATCAATCCTAAGGCTGAGGCATCCTGTGTTTTTTGCCAACACTGTCTGATTTAGCTCTCTGCTGACTTTGGCCATTTTCCCTTATAAATAGTATGTAAGATGCTCTACTTTTTAATAAATTTATTTGCCATAAGTCATCAGCTTGTACAAGGCCTCCTAGTCCCAGCTATTGCTTTTGTCCTCCTTATTCCCCAATCCCTGACACTCCCATTAAACACCTTACCATTTGGGACCCTTATTCCTACAGGTTATGGTCAAAGCATCCACCCCTGTAGAAGTCCCCCCTCCCATATAGTTCCCAGGCCCACTGTTCCTACCTCAGAGCCAGCAAGCACCCAGCTATTATCTGAGTCTGGGCAGGAGGAGGTCATAGTTGTGGCAGTCCAGGGTTGCTAGGGTGACCACCTGCAGAGAAAACCTCTCTTAAGAATTGGAGTTCCTGGGCTGGAGAGATGGCTCAGCGGTTAAGAGTACTGGCTGAGGTTTAATTCCCGGCACCCACATGGCAGCTCACAACTGTCTGTAACTCCAGTTCCAGAGGATCTGACACCCTCACTCAGACACACCTGCAGGCAAGACTCAACACCAATGTACATAAAATAAAAATAAATCTTAGCATAAATAAGCTTTTTTTATAGAGGAGGAAGAGGAGGAGGAGCTCCCATCAAGGGAGGCAGAGAGCAGAAGCAGGACTCCAAGCATCAAATCTGGCCAGTACTCTCCAATTCAGTCCTTCTGCCCCGATCCCATGCTTTCCTGGCAGTGTTCATCTTGCTAGAAGCCAGGGAAGCGCTTCTCTTCCAGGGACCCACTGCCCTGACCTTGAAAGGTCAAAGAGGCCAAAGCCTGACAAGTCCAACCCCCTGGTGTTCTGGCCAGTGGGGAGGCATCTCAGAGAGGCTGACTGACAGCAGAGGGAGGGAAATGACCCGGGTCCCTTTCACAACACGTGGATCCTCCATAATCCTCAGTCCTCCCACAGAGCCCAATGAGAAGAACTGTCTCCTTAAGGCCCCAGTGTCCCAGCACCCATCCCCACTAGTCCTCCACTCATTCGGCATAGGTTAGTGGTTCTCAACATGTGGGCCACAACCCCTCTATCAGCTATTTGCAATTACAGTTATGAAGTAGCAACAAAAGGACTTTATGCTTGGGGTCACCACAACATGAGGAACTGTATTAAAGGGTCACGGCGTTAGGAAGGTTGGGAACCACTAGTTTATGGGTCCTCAGTGCTGGCTGCCATTGAAATGAGTGGAGTCAGGCCAGGCAGGAAGCTTTCTGACACCACAGGCCCTGCAGGCCTGCCTGAGAGAGCTAAGTCCTCCTGGATGCACATTTAGTCACCCTCCTTTTCACTTTCTGCAGAGTTTGATCTCAGGGATCATCAAAGTGACTGGAGAGAAGGATGTGTGGTGATCACCATCCAAATCATATTTAAATTTGCAACAAAAAGGGATGGGGGACTGGGACTCTGGTCCTGTCCCTTGCTAATCAACTTGGAGGACAACTGGGGTTAAGGTATGACCCCCCCCAAGTCCAGCATTAAGCAAGGCTGTGCCCTTGGGCTAGGGAGCTGCAACTGGACTCAACCATGATGATGGAGTGACAGACAAGCTGACCCACAGAGCCCTGGACTATGGTCAGAGGCAGAAAAGTTATTGCCACCCCCAGCAGCAGAAAAGGCAGAGAAGGGAAAATGGGGTGGGGGAGTCTGGAAGTTCTACCTTCAAAACCAGCCAGATGCTTCCTATCTGTCTACTGCAGCTCGGGGTAAGTCCTTCGTGATTACCTTATAAACTTCTGGGGCTCTGGCCAGTCAAGATTCAAGTCCAGGATAGGTAAAGGACATCTAATGGTGTCTTTCTCAGTGCCAGTGAGACACCGACACCCATCCCACAGGGAGACAGAATAATTACAATGAGTTCCCTACACGAGGTCCCAAAGAACCTCCCCACACACCCCTTCCTCTAGTGACACCCACACAGCCATTCTTGTCCAGATTTCTGGTCTCAGCCCCTCCCTCTACTGTCCTGTCCCGATCCCAGTTGCTGTGTGTGACTGTTAACAGGTGGCAGCAGAAAGGAAGTGGCAGCAGCTTGAGCAGAAGTCCCCATCTATCCCTGTTTACAGCCTGCTCAGGTCCTCCAGAACTAAGCACCATGGCAACCAGGGTGATGTCAGACCCACTGTCTCCATGGAAATCAGCGATGGTATGGTATTTGGGTCAACAAGACAACCCTTCTGAAATCTAAACAGGAGACTTCCTGGAACCCCTGCACTCAGACCCCTGATACCAGAACACATCCCTGCTCTCCTAGGCCAGCACACCGATGCCTTATTAGGAAGCCCTGTAAGAAATTGTGCCGCTCCTGAGCTATCACCCTTCCCCGCCCCGCGTGTTTTCAGTCTTTGACCTCTAGGAAGAAAACCCACTCCCTACTCTCCTCTTTTCCCTCAGGCAGGGTTCAACATCTTGTCAGGATTGTCACTGACTCCTGCTGTTCTAAAACCAGCTGACGCGGGAGTGCCCCTTCTCTGCACAAAGCTGTGAGGTCTGGTTTGGTGCACACTTCCCTCTAACAGCCTTCTCTGACCTTTAAAGGGAAGGACCTGGGACCACGAGAACTTGCCTGAGTTCCCGCTTCGGAATCCTCTGTCTCCCTCCTTCCCCGCCCTTAGGTCCTGTGTTAGGCAGTGTGTGGACCGGGATTGGGGGGGGGGGCGCTGCCCATTCCCTTTATACAACTCTGCCCTCCTTTTTTATCGAGGGACAAAATGGGGGGTCTGCAAGCCCATTCCAGCTAGGGATTTACCTGACCCAGCTCTCGCTTCAGTCTTCAGTTTAACTTCTTGCAACCTCCCCAGGTTTCCAGCCCAGGAAGGGGGAGAAAAAAAAAAAGAGTCACGTGGTTGGTGTTTGACCAGTGAAAAGTCGCCTTCCCCGCACGGGTGGAGGGTAGGGGGAACTTTTGACCAATAAAAGCTGGACTTGATCTCCCGGGCGGGGCGCGGAGGGGAGTGGAGAAGACGTACGCAGTACTTCCCCCTTGGTTTTTCTCTTGGTGGGCGCCTGTGATTCTCAGCGAACTAATTTTTTTGGGGGGGACCTCACTCCTTTTCTAAATGTTTAGTGCCTAATCGTAAGATCTAAAGCAGAAAGGTGCTGTCTGATGAAGATAGCAAGGACCAGGTGCCATGTTGGCCCCAGGATAGACAGAGACAGGTGTAGTATGGGGGATGGAGTCCGGTGCAAGTTGTGGGTTTAGAAATAGCCCTCCTGCCGGCAGACTGAGGGTGCCACTGCTTTGAAAATGGAGGATGGCCAAGCGTGGTGGTGTCCGCCCTTAACTCCAGCTCTTGGGAGGCCGAGACAGGTGGATCTCTATGAGTTCGAGATCAGCCAGATCTACATAGTGAGTTCCGGGTCGGCTAGGGCCACATGAGATTCCGCCACACAAAGAAACCGCAACAACAAAAAACAGCAGCCAGTGGGATGGCTCAGGCCAGCTTAGGCCAGTGCGATGGTTCAGGCCAGTGGGATGGATGGCTCAGGGCTGTAAAACCTCCACAGGTGCACTGTGCACGTGTCTACCCTCAACACATACACCAACACAAGGTAATAAAGGCCAGCCTGGGCTACAAATACTGTTAGCACCAAGGCAGAAAAGCATCCACAAATTAAAATTCGAGGCTGGATGTGACTCACTGGCGGAGCACTGGTACCTGCAGCATGGAAAATGAAACATTTTTAAAAACTTTATGGACATGAGTGTTTTGCATGTCTGTAGTAATGAATCCTCTGGTACCAGAGTTACAAATGATTGTGAGTTGCTATTGCATACTGGGAATTGACTCTGGGTCCTCTGCAAGAAGAGCTAGTGCTCTTAACTGCTGGCCATCTCTACAGCCCCAAAACTCCATTTTAAAAAACACATTACTTACTTGTGTGGGGGTGCACACCTGCCACGGCACATGTCATTTGGAGGAAGAGTTGCCAAGTCAGTTCTCTTCTACTATATGGGTTTGGGGAGTGCTCAGGTTTGGCCAAAAGCATCTTTACATGCTGCTATATCTCCTGTGAGCCCCAAAACAAATTTTTGAAAAAGCAAGAAGTCTACTGAAGGGAGAGGGAACTGAAAGATGGGAACTGCTGGATGAAACCCAGAGCTGAACACCAATGCCAGAGGCCTTGGCTCCAACTCTGTCTGGCTTCTACCCTAGCCCAAGTATTGCTCCAAAAGAAAGGGTTCCCACATCAAGGACACAAGGTGGAGCAGGGAAACTGGGGACCTTTTCAGCTCAGCAGCTCACAGCAGGGCGGCAGGGAGGGACAGAGAGCTGTCTTGCCCTCTATAGGCACCCTCCTATCAGTGACACCAACTGCTTAGCCCCATGTTTGTTTGTTTTGTTTTTTGTAGACTAACAAAGCAGTCCTTGTTTGGATTTTCAAGTCATTTTATTAGTCCAACCATATAAAAAAAGATTCTGTAACCACATCTCTCTGCCAACCCACTTTCTTCTAAAAAGCAGCAGAGAGGAACATGGGGATGGACCCTCCTCCCCAGGAGCATTTTACAAACCATGAAGACAACACAAAAGTAGCAACAGTAATAGGGGCAAACAGAATCACAACACAACGGTGAGCAGAGGCTGCCATATACGAAGTTTAGGAGTTGGGGGGCAGAATAGGAAACAGGTCCACCCTCCTCCTTAGCTTCAACTCCATCAGTGTCTTCTCTTTCCATATGCAGGGAACATGGCAAGCGGGGCAGGACATAGCAGATGGCCTTTGTCACCATGGAGTGCTGGGCACTGAGATTCCACCCAAAGGGGCCACACCCAAGCTTACTTTCCTCGCACCCATATGACGACTGGGCGTATGGGCTAGCTGGAAAGAGGTAAAGAGAAGCCGAGGGAGCTCCTGACCAGGCCCCAGTCTCATTACTGGCGGGGGAATGCTACCGAAATAAAAACAAACGAAGCCTAGTTGCTGGATCCCCAGGCCCAGATGATAAAAAGGGTGAGGCAGAAAAGTTCAGGTTCTTTTAGTTTTCAGTACCATGGCTTTGAGGATCCTGCTCCACACCCACCCCCCAAAGCCACAGCTGGCCTCACTTGGATCCTTCCATCCGGGAAGGAATGAGGTATAAGGGCTTCATGCCTTCCCAAACTTTCCCGAGGCAGAGGAAACGGGGTGGGGAGGGGGCACCAAGAGCTGAAGATCAGCACTATCACAATGTGCAGCACAATAGGCGGGAAGGGGTTAATGTCTCCAGCCCAGACTTCCGGGGAGCCCAGACTTCAAATATTCTGGTCAGACCGACCACATATCCCAACTTTTGGCAAAAACACGGTCACTGGGCGAAAAGCACAAGAGAAGCCGAGAAGAAACCAGTGTCTTTGGTGTGAGGAAGAGGTCTTCTCGGCTGCAGTCTTGACCCCCAAGACAAGCAGTTCTGCTTCTTCAAGGTATTTGGTGTTTCTGAGAAGAGACTAAGAGTGGGTCCAGGGGAAGCAAAGGGAAAGACAGAGAGGAATCCCTTTTGTTTCCGGAACCCACAGAAGGGACTACATCTCTGTGAGCGAAGAAACCTTGAACACGTGACTCCGACAGCTACAGCTGTAGCTCTGGAGCTACATAGGCATCATAGGCACCGGTGTTAGGGTCATCTGTCATCTGCGCCACACAGGACATCCTTGCCATCTGGAACTTCCTCCGCTAGACTCTAGGAATGGCTCTGCTTGGCAGGACTTCAGCTTCCTGGCTCTCCGAAGGTATCAATGCACAAGTTCCCAGAAAAACAAAAAAACAAAACAAAAAACGAGCAACCTAGGCTCTTCTGCCTGCTCGCCTCGCTTCTGCTTCCAGGAACCACGTATTTCTGCTCGTGTGGATGGGAAGCCAGTGGAAAACGAGCGAGAACCACATAACTACTCTGTAAGAGCACAATGAGAAATGTGCACTCTTCTGGGCCACCCCACTGGAGTCATCCATCGTTAGCAGCCACCAACTGCCCCATGCCCTCTCGGATGTAGACAGACTGGATCTCCTTGGTTTTGAGGCAGAGGTCACACGCCCAGACTGCAGAGGCTTCAGTGGTTAGCAGCCCATAGGCACTCTCCGTCATGCCAGTGCACTCGCGGTGAAACCACTTCTGGCAGGAGGCCTCACACAGGATGGCATCCTGGTCATCGTTCACCTCACTCCGACAGGCACCACAAGGGTACACCAGGCCCGGGGGAGGCTGGGGCCCCGAGCCTCCACCTGCCTTGCCTGGGGGTGCGAGGCTGTTGGCATCTGGAGTACCCCCACCTCGACCGCTACTGCTGGGGGGGAAACTAGGCTGGTTCCCATTAACAGCAGCAGCTGGGGAGCCTGAGTGAGGCTCCTGGGGGAAAGCGGTGGGAGCAGGTGGATTCAAGGGCTTTCCCCCATCCTCACCACCAGGGCCAGGAAAACCAGGGTCTGGACCAGGGAAGGGACTCGCGTTAGGAGGCAGGCTGGGGAGTCCCTGACCTGGTCTCTGAAGGGAAGGACCAAAAGGTGCCCCTGGTTGGGCAAAGCGTTGGGGGAGAGGAGGAGGACCCAGATCCCCTCTAGGAGGCTGTCCCATGGTGGGTGAGATCATGGGACCAAATCCCCCCACTGGGCCCGGCATCATCTGCCCTCCAGGTGGACTAAAGTTTTGGCCCAGAGACTGGTTGAAGGGTTGACTGGGAAAGTTCATGTTGCCTGGGGGTGGATAGCCCGGGCCCTGAGGAGGCATATTAAAAGCTGGGCCCATAGGGTTAGGAGGGAAAGGAGGGGGCTGTCGACGAAGTGGCTGGGGACCCCCTCCTCCTCCAGTGCCATAGCCTGGGGGTACCTGGCCTGCCATGCCCCCCTGTACGCGAAAGCCTCCAAAGGGCACAGGACTGCCAAGGAATGGAGGGCCTGCACCCCCCACCTTAGGGGCTCCGAAGTCATCCTCAAAAGGGTTAGAAGCAACCAGATGATCCACCATGGGAGTCGGGGGTGGTGCAAACTCTGTCAGATGTGAGTATGCAGGACCCTAATGAAAACAGGGGAAGATGTTATGAGACACAGAACCAAGCTGGGAGAGCCCCACAAACATAATACACTCTTTGAAGACTGACACAGCTCAGATCCAAAACCGTGACTGGCCTTAGAACATAACATGACAGAGGCGAAGGCGGAGCCCACAGTGCAATAGTACTGTTAATAAAAAACAAAACAAAAACCCAGCAGATAGGGCTGGAGCATGAGCTCACTGGTTAAGAGCATGAGTTTCAGTCCCAGCACCCACGTTAGAGGGCTCAAAGGTCTGCGACTCCAGAGGTGTAACATCTTTGGCTTCTTCTAGCACTTGCACTCACATGGACATAGAGACCCATATGCATACATATAATTAAACATAATAAAATAATTTAACATAAAAATTCAGATAAAAATCATACCAAAACCCAGGGCTGACCCCAAAGCAGTTAATTAACCCTGCTTCCCCACCCCTATCAACAGTATCTTATATAACCCAGGCAGCATTCAAGTTCCGCTTATAGCTGAAGATAACCTTGAAATCCTCATTATTTCCAACCTCCTGCCTCGTTCTCTGGAGTACTGGGACAGATATGAACCACTATGTCTTATTTATGAAGTGCTGGGGCTAGAACGCAGGGCTTTGTGCAAGCTAGCCAGGCAAACTACTGAATATTTAACTTTTTAAGTCTCCTATTTTCTCAACTTTTCTAATAGGAACAACTATTAAAGCACCGTAGCATCATTATGGCCCCGAGGGAAGACTCAGCAAGCTGAGCCTGGTGAGACATGCCAGCAATGCCAGCACTTCGGAGCGCGATGCAGACGGGCTAAGAGATCAAAGCCAAGCTGGGTACCCTGTCTCAAAATAGTGAGAGTACAAGCTGCAGAAATGGCTCACGGGTTTAAGAGCGCTGCTCTTGCAGAAGCCCTGGGCTCTGTTCCCAGCACCGACGTGGCTGCTCACAACTGACAACTACCTGTACCTCCAGTTCTGGGGACTCTGACCCTCTCTTCTGGCCCGTGGGGGCACCTAGCACTCATCCTTGGGTCCCCAGCACTGCAGAAAACCAGTATGGTGATGCACATCAGTAATCTCACCACTTTAGAAGCGAAAGCAGAAGAATCACAGATTCAAAGTCATCCTTGGCTACGCAGCAAATATAAAGTCAGTTTGGGATACTGTCTCAAAAAGGAAGAAAGTGAAAGGAGAAAGGGGAGGCTGGGCTAAATGCTGCCACAGAACTAGGACCCGAGAGGAAACGGAGAGAACAGAATTCCTATTTTTTCTCACCACCACTCCCTTCCCCTGGAGGACAGCACAAGAGCAAAGCCAGGCAGACAGACAAAGCAGGGGGAGGGGGGGTTTCTAGGAATACTCCCACCATGAATTCCCATTTACCTGAGTGTTGGACTTTCTTCGTTTCTTTTCGGGGCTCTTCATTTGCAGACCTGGAGGAGCAGCAATAGGCAGACAGAGGCAAGTTTTCCTGAGGTTCTGCTCTCTCCTTCCGCCTAGCTACTTTCCAGATTCTAACTTCCAAGTACACTTACTTATTTAAGAAACAGGAGTGAAGTATGAAAAATGACTAGCATGACTACACTCTCAGCTACATCCTACATCTTCCTTGAAATCAAAGATACCCGGCTCCAAAACCTGAAGTGATCTGTGACACCTGCCCCCAACCACTAACCCTCCAGCCCCTGGACAACCTCCCCAGCCCCAACCCTTCGATCTGAGGGTCCAGGGTTCTGGGCCTCGCCAGCCCCCGCCCCTCTCTGCGCTCTCACCGGCCTTGCCCTGCTTCCTCCCGGTGCTGGGCGGCGCGGGGGGCGGTGCGGGGCCGCTGCCTCCCTCCAGCTTGTCCGGTGGGGGCGGCGCCGAGGCGGCCATGGATTAGGGGACCCGAGTCAGCGTCGGCGGGGGATGGAAGCGTCCTCAGGCCGCACCATCGCCCGGAGAGGAGTCAGGGGCAGCGCAGCACCCCCGAGCTGCAGCAAACCCTAGACACGCCGTGAGGGAGTCGCAGAGCCAGAGCACCAACTGCACGCCTGCTCCAGACTCACCGCCCGCCCACGGCCACAGCAACCGGAACCGGAACTCCAATGGGTCACCACCACCGAACGCAGCAGGGAGGGGAAGATGGGAAGGGCCCAGACGCCGCACCCAACAAGGCTGGGTCTTGCCACGCCACTCCTCTGAAGTGCGGCGAAGGCCGCCCGAGCCGGCCCCGCAGCTGCGTGGGGTGCACCACTATAGACAAGCGGGCGCGCGGGTTCCCCATGGACCTGGGGGCGGTCCGGGCACGCCCTTCCCTCCCGCAAACCAATCGCCTTTCAGATACGTCCCTACCGCGCAGCCTCACTGGCCTCCAAATTCCCGCAGACTCCAGTTCCCGCGGACAGGGGCTGGCTTTGAGCCTAATCGACCTAGCCCAGGTGGGGTCCGTCGCCACCTCCCACTGACGGTCCCCATTCAATCAGACTTTCTAGAGGTGTTGAGAAACCGAGGTAGAAGAAATACGGACTTTAATGAAGGCTATTTCCCTTTGGTATAAGATATCCAAACCAAAAATAGGCGACGGCCAAGACAGAAAATCAGTCTTAACCCACCCCTTGTTCACAGGGCCTACAGGTGAGCTTCCAAGGCTTTCATGGGTCTGGCCTGCAAGCAGAAGGTAGTAGGATCTGAAATAAGCTTTCACATCATGACCTCACAACACTGTTTAACCAAACTTCTGCCCAGGTCTCTTGAGGAAGAAGAAAAACGAATCGTGTCCTAGTTATTTTTACGTCAGAGAGAGTAAAATTCCAACAGGTGTGTTAAAAAAAAAAAAAAAAAAAAAAAAGTTTGGAAAACTTAACGAGGTGATATATAAATGTGATCTGATCGACTATCATAATTTGTGCTCAAATGCAACAGAAACAAAACCAGGAAAATAAATCTACAGCCCTAAAATGTATGTTAACAACAACAACAAAAATATTGCAGTTCCAGAACTACAAATGGTATTGGGGATTGTCCACTGCTTCGGTCTCAATGCCTCTGCAAAACCCACCTTGAGATTAACTGTACACATGCTGGAGGCACATGTCAGTCATAGACACCCATCCCAAAAGTGGGAAACTGGATGGGGTTGCAGGAAGAAGGGCTATGCTTTGGCTGTAGACTATAACACACATGCAAACGTGGCAGGGGCAGACTTAAGAAATGTATAGACCCCTTGGAGGAGAGGGATCAAAGCCAGGAGACACTGAGCAAGGCAGGGGTCCAATCCTGCTCCTCCTCCCTCCCCCAGCAGGAGGGGGCTCTGAGGCTATCTCTCTCTTTGGTTTTTGGAGTCAGGGCCTCTCTAAAAATAGCTCTGGCTGTCCTGGAACTCACTCTGTTGTAGACCAGCCTGGCCTCACAAATTCTGGTCTCTGCCTCCTGAGTGCTGTGATTAAAGGCATGTGCCACCAAGCCCGGCTTGGGGCACTCTCTTAAGGGCTGCACAACCAAAAGGCAGAGGAGATAGCTGCCACTCCTGCCCCCATTCTTCCCAAACACAAAGAGGGGTGCTGAGCATGACAGGGTTCCAGAAGCCAAGGTGTCAGCAACCCCTATCCACATTGAAGGGCCTGAGAACTCTGCAGAGAGTATCTACAGACCTAGGAGACAGTCAAAGGCACAAAGTTGTAAGGGGATGCACAGGGAATAGGATGTTAGAGGGATCTGGGGTACCCTGAAGATCAGGGGGAAACCAGAGGTATGATTATTTCCCTTCCCACAAAGGGCAATTGCTCCACTGGGCCCATGGCCGCAGCGCATTTTCCATAGTAAGAACCTACCCTTTGAGGGAAAGGGCATCAGGTTGGCACAGACAAGGCCCAGGCAAGGGGCCACTCTGTACATTAATACTTTGGTGAACGTTAGGCAGAAGCAGGATGCTACCCCAGGTTCCTAACTAAAACCTCTCTCAGGTGGGCACTAAACCCAGTGTCCACACTGCTTCCAGCTCCCACCCAAGGCCAGCCCCACAGAGCAGAGGTCCCAGGAGTTAGAGAACACGGTAGAAAGGGATGGAGACTGAGGATCACGCTTTCCGATCCACAGGTTGCTGTAGACACAGTTCGCTGCCCGCGGAGATGATGGGCAAGTGATTGTCCATGTGGTAGCTAATGAGGTGGCTGACACTCTCAAAACGGTGATCCTTTGTACGAACCTGCGAAGGTGGGAAATAAGAGGATCAGTTCGAGTGAAGAATTCAGTAAGACCTTAGCCCCCAAGACTAAGGAAGGGCGAGGATATATTCACACACAGGGAAGTCAGTGAACTCAGAATGGGAAGCTGATAAACAGAGAAACTTGTGACTTGAAGGAACTGGCATATCTCAATGGAGGATACCACAGTGCAAAAACAGTGTGGGAAGGAGGCTGAGAAAAGAAAAGAAACCGAAGTTGTATGGAGGAGGAGTAAGGCAGGTCAGATTTTTAAAGAGAAGAAAAAACACTGAGTTTGAAGCTAAAAGCTAGAGACTCCTGACTCCTCTCAAGAGGAAATTTGGGGTCCCTACCCCATAACCATCTGATGTTGAGCATCACTGCCTTTCCGGGGTCACTTCCTCACTTGGCAAAAGGAGCACAGATCAGGTGAGTACTTTCTAGGTCTGGTATTGGTAGGCTTAAGGTCTGGTCAGAACTGTGAAGAACACAGCTCAGAGCCAGCAGAGTGGTGGTGGCTCACGCCTTTAATCCCAACATCAGGAGGCAGAGGCAGGCTGATGTCTGTGAGTTTGAGGCCAGCCTGGTTTACAGAGTGAGTTCCAGGAAAGCTACGGCTGTTACATAAAGAGAGAAATTCTGTCTAGAAAAATCAAAATAGAAAAGAAACACAGCTCAGACTCAAGACTCCTTAAGGGAAGGAACCTTAAACCACTGCCAGCAGATACCAAGTATCTAGAAGAGCAAAGGAGGCCCATGGAAAGCCTCTAGCAAAGAAAAGTCTAGAAAGCAATAAGGAGCCAGGTGGTGGTAGATTACGCCTTTAATCGAAGCACTTGGCAGGCAGATATCTGTGAGTTTGAGGCCAGCCTGGTCTATAGAGGACAGGCTCCAAAGCTACAGAGAAACCCTGTCTCAAAAAAAAAAAAAAAAAAAAGGCAGCAATAAGGAGAGGAAAAGGTACCTTTTTCTTTCTACTGCCTGCTACATACACCTCTGCCACTTACCACACCTTCAGGATCCACCAGAAGCAGGTGCTTGGGCTGCCCGCTCTGCAGGCCAGTGAGGACATATTGGCCAGGTGTGGTTGTGCTCTCTCGAACCAGGAAGTCACCATTGAGCTGCAGCAGTGCTTCAGCCTCCCGCCGGCTCAGCTTCCCATGGAACCAGGACTCCCCCTGGAGCTGCTCAGCCATGGACATGGTCTGAGGAGGTGGAGGTACCCGAAGGGCATCTTCAAAGGGCTCTAAGGGTGTAGAAAGATGGCTAGGAGAACTGGCCCAAAATACACCTGAGACTCAGACTCTAGGCAGTCAGTGGGTAAGGACAGGTGGAAAAGAAGAATAAAGGGAGGCGGGGCTACAAGAGACTCACTCACTCATGTCAAAGAGGTCTCGGGGTGCACTGCCATTAACAGAAGGATTGGGAGGCCCAGCCCCACCCCCAGCTTGCCGGGCCTTGTCTAGATTCTGGATATTGACATAGGAAGGGTCATCGAAGAGTTCTCTGCCTGTTAAGGAAAGACACAAGACTATGTCAATCCCAGCCATGTCCTCTGTACCCATCTCTGTCCCAGTCAGCAAATTGTTCCGACCTGGGCAAGGTGGTGGAGGCAGCATCTGTTTACGAACTTCAGGGTCTCCTGCAGCATGTTGCCCTATAGGCTGTAAGAAAAATCAGGTGAGATCAAGGCCCTAGCCAGCCAGCCACCCAGACCCTGGACTGGAGGTCTCCATCCTCAAAGCTTACCAGTGTAGCTCCCAAGTGGCTGGACATCTGAGCAGTGGGCAGAGTGGGTCGGGAAGCCCCTTCTCGAAGCCTCATGTCTACCACCCCACCAAGAGGGGGTTCCTTCCCTGGGAAGTCATTATAGTACTGATGGTCAGGTGGCTCTTCTTCCTCCTCATCCCAAGCTGAGCCATCAAAGCCAGCCATCCTGAGAAGAGAAAGATGGAGTGAGGTGGGTGTAAATATGTGGTGGCCAAGAGACCCAAGAAGGGACGAGAACAGTGATCACATACTAGGCATATACTATGTGGGTCACACCTGAGGATTGGTGCTATAACCCTGTAAGGCTGGTATTGCTTCCAAGATTTTAAAAATAAAAATCAGGGTTGGAGAGATTTGCACAAAGTATCTCAACTGAAAGGAGGTAGAATTGAGAGGTTTTATTTGGTTTTAAACCAAAAACTTACTTTTGACAGCTATAGTATTTCCTAAGAAGGGTGGAAGCACTATCCAAAAAAGGGATATTCACAAAATCCCCGATGTCACAGTATTTCTTGAAACTTGGGGGGGGGGGGCAAAAAACATAGGAATCTCAGGTAAAAGAGATGCTAGGGCTTGGGAAACAGCTCAGAGTTCAGATTACCAGAACCCATATACAAGCCAGGCCACCTGTACAAGAATGGTGGCCACCTATAACCCCAGCACTCTGGAGGCAGAGACAAGTTGCCCTAGCTATATCTGGTAAGCTCCAGGTCACCGAAAGATCTTGACCTTCAATAAACAAAGTGTGATGCAATAGAGGAAGACATCTGTTATCAACTTCAGACCGCTCTATAAGCATACGCATGTGGGTACACTTGCACACACACAACACATGCAAACACATATACACATATAGAAAAAAAAGAAAATATTTTCTCAATCTACATTATTTCTTTCTTCTTTCTTTTTTTCTTTTTGAGACAGGGTTTCTCTAAGTAGTAGCCCTGGCAATCCTGGAACTCATTTTGTAGACCAGGCTGGCCTCAAACTTGGGCATCCGCCTGCCTCTGCCTCCTGAGTGCTGGGATTAAAGGCGTGTGCCACCACCGCCTGGCTAAAATCTAAATTCGTAATAACTTTCAGAGGCAGGAAAGAACAGAACAATGAATGGGGGGAGTGTGGTAAAGAGGACCCAGGTTTGGTTCCCAGAGCTCACGTGGCAGTTCACAACCACATTTAATTCCAGATCCAGGGATCCAATGCCCTCTTTGGCTTCCACAAGCACTATATACACTTACATACATGCAGTAAAACACACATACACATAAAAATAATCTTTAAGGGGAAAAAAGTATTTAACAACACAGGGATAAACCAGGCAGTGGTGGTACACGCCTTTTGTCCCAGTACTTGGGAGGCAGAGACAGGTGGATTTCTGTGAGTTCCAGGCCAGCCTGGTCTACAGAGAGGTTCCAGAATAGTCAGGGCTGTTACACAGATAAACCCTGTCTCAAAAAACCATAAAATGATAATAAAAAACCACACAGGGATAGGCTAAAAATGAGGAACCTGAGCCAGAGTCCATCCACTAAGAAAGGCAAGTTAGTGGGAGGTGCTGGAATATAACCCCACCCTAGGCAAACAAAAGGAAGAAACTGCCCCTGCAGTAGGCATGGCCCTCATCAGACTTTCCTGCTGGGCCACTGGAGACCTAACACAGTAGGAAGAAGGAGGCAGGGTCACTCAAGCATGGGAAGAGAAAACTACTCCCAACCCCAGCCTAAGGCTCCGGAGCTGCCTCACACTCTTTACCCCAGCTCACCTGTCATGGGGGGTGACCAGCTTAGGTGGATTCCTGAGATACTGTTTGAAGCGTAACTCAAAGGCCTGACCGATGGTGCTGATGACATCCTGAGCAAGCCCTTCAGGACACTCCAGGATATGGCAGGCTGGGGGCACAGTAGAAACTGCCAGTGAGCTCTGAGGTAGGGTGTTGGAAGCACATATTGAAGGAGCCGCCCAAGCCCAATCCTCAGCAGGATAGTCCCATCAAGTGTAACTGATAAGAGTAGGGGAAAGTGATCCCACTTACTTCTCAGATAACTGGCCCTACCCAGTGTTGCTCACAAGCCTCACCTCTCTGATTTACGGGATCTTTGGCAACATAGGCAACATACTCAGCTGTGTCCTAGAGGATAGATTCAGAAGAGACCAGTTAGCTAAATTCTATAACTCCATCTTATCTGACCCCTAAGACTGTCCATTTCAGATAATCCCACAATCCTCTCTCTCCCTCACGGGTTTTTGGAAAAGCATTTCTCTGGCTGTCCTGAAACTCAGAGAGTGCTGGAATTAAAGGCGTGTGCCACCACACCCATCCTCTAGTCAGTACCACCACCTTCTTTTTTTTTGGTTAGCCAGTATCATCTTAACCCCTAGTCTCTCATTCCCCATCCCATCTTTTCTCTGTTCCCCAACTCACCGGATCCCCACCAGACGCGAATGAGATAGACTGCATGTGATGGTTGGCAATGATCTGATGAGGACAGGGGACGCAGAAGGAAGGGAATGGTAAACGTCAGGCAGCCTCAGGGTTCAGTGTGTACCCTCACCCCAGCTTAGAGCCTTAGAGCCCCAGTCTCATTCTCTTGGCTTCTATTCCTACATTCTCCTAATTTCGTTCTATTGGGGAGGGGGTACAGGGGTGCGGGGTCTTGCTGTATAGTTGGAATTCAAACACCCCCCTCTGCCTCCCGAGTCCTGGGATTAAATTTGTCACTATACCCAACCCCTCTAATTTGTCCCTCCTCTACTCTGCAGTTGCTCATGAGGACTCCAGGGTTCTGGCCTCCAGATTCCCCCTTGGTCCTCCCATAACTACCCAGATCCCTTTCAGCAGCTCCACCCACCTGTTTGCAGTCTGCTGCCATGAGGTTAAGGCTGCTGGTGGACACAGTGAGAGTGATTGGCATTCCAGCAAACTTCAGGTTACTCCTCCCCAGGATAGAGCTGAGTGGGCGGCTACAGGGCTAGGAAAGTCCCCAAGTCTCAGAATCTGAGCACTGCCAACAGCAGGGGACACTCCTGCCTCCTCCCCTCAGTGCCTGCCTTTGCCTTCCCCTGCCTGCCACCAACCACATATACCTTTCTCCTCCTTGTCGCTCCTTTGGCACCAGGCACGGCTTCACACACCAAACTGATGGCCTCCCTGGAGAAACAGGGGTACTCAGACCCACTCCTGGCCTCCCATTGCCTGGGGCTGCCACAAGGTGGGGGAGGGGAAGGCCAGGCCAGACTCTCAGAGCACTCCAGGCTCTTTGTCGTGGTGGATTGAATTAAGGGCCTTTAATATTTGATGACACTGAGGGGCTGCTTCCTGGCTGATTGGGTTAGGGCCTCAATGGCTATAGCCCCACCTCTTGCCAGTTACCAAATGTGCCATTCCCTTCCCAAAAGCAGCAGCAACCTCCTACTCCACCTTTTCCAATCCATCTTCCCACAGTCTCCAAGGCTGGATAGGTAAGGTGGCGCTCCAAACCAGAGTTGGCTCTTTTCAATCAGACACACTTCTGTAACTTTGAGTTCTCTTGGCCACCCCATGAGAAGTCACCATCAGCACCACCATCAAATGCCTGCCCAACTTCCCTTGTCCTCCATACTGAGACTTCTGTAACTTCACTAAGCCTAGGACTTCAACAGTATACCTGCCTCTCCACTAACCTGGTGACCTGGGTCCGGGTATTGAAGTCAAGGGCTCGCATTGACTGCAGGACCTCCACACAGCCCATGTACTGTGGGGGAAGGAAGGAGGCAAGAATGGGATCAGCTGCCCCCTCCCCCACCCACGCCCCCCCCCCCTTTGCAGAAGGTTCTAGGACTGTGCCCTAGCCCTATGTAGTCCCTAAGGGACGTAAAGGTGAAGCAGCCTTTTTCCTGCCTGGAGCTACCACCCCATAGTGAGGAAGAGCCACCAAAGAGGGCCTTCATGCACTGTGCAGAGATTGTGAGGAGTAGCAGGCATTGGGTGGGATTGAGTGACACTTCTGGAAAAGGGAAGAGTCTAGAGGGAAGAATCCAGAAGTAATTTTTCATTCAACACTTACTAAAAGCCTCTGATGTACTTGACCATTGTGTAAGCTGGGGGTAGGGGTCAAAGGAAAGGGGACCCTGGCAAAAGATTCCCAGGCTAGAACAGAAGGGCATGGAATTGGAGAAGGGATGAGGTAGGGTTAAGAACTAGGGAAATGCCACAGATGTTGGGGGGGGGAAGCAGGAAGTCCCAGCAAATCTGGAGTGAGCAGAGGAACTGGATGGGGTATGGGAGGGGGCGGAAAGGAGGATGTTCACTCACCCGAACCAAGTAGGAAACCCCAGGTCCCATGACTTTGTCGTTGGGATGCAGCCAGCCTCGTGTGGGCTTATTGACAAAGCTCCCGTGTCTGGTCCACTCCTCGCCCCCCAGCTGGCCCCCTTCTACCCGAGTCCTGCGCCCGCCGCCTCCACTCAGCTTGTTCATGTCCTGGAGGAGGGGCAAGAGGCCTGAGTCCCGAAGGGCTGCCCCTGCGTTCCCATCCCCATCTTCAGCAGCCTTTCCTGGCTCCCCCTTAGGCCCCAGGCGCCCCCCAGGATTGGCCAGCTTGAGGTTGCTCATCCGGGGAAAGAAGGAACACAGAGTAGTCGGACTGTCGTCCCCCGGCAGAGGAGGCAGAATGGGTCCCAGGGATGAGGCTGACGGGGAAGGCAGCTCTTCTGTGGGGGTAGACCCTGAAGCCCCCTCCTCCAGCGATGACAGAGACTCATTTCGAAGTGGGTTGTACTTCGGCTTGGGGGGTAGGAGATCCATGGCTGGGGTGAGAAGGGGGGCTGCTGCCTGGCCCAGCCCGGCCCCCCTGCCAAATTCAGGCAAGGGGGCCAGGCAGGGGGGCATCCCCAGGCCCTTAGCCTGGTCTGACCTCTGCAGCCTGGTGATAACAGAGGACTCAGGGTGGCGAAGGACAAGTGGCCTCTGCTCTCTCAGGAAAGATCTAGACAGTTTCAGGCCACATCCTTGCCCAGCCCAGCGAGGAAGCCTCTTAAGACTGAGGAGTACAGGCTGGACCCAGAGCTGACTGGCTCCTCCCCGGGGGCGGGGAACTAAGGAGACAGACCAATCCCAAGCACAGTGCTGACTCACAGGCTCAGAGTGGCAGAGACACCTCCCCACACAATGTGTGCTAGCCAGGCTACTCTCCCTTGCCCTATACAAACAACTAGTGGTCTGTCTGGGGAGGCTGGAGGTGCCAGGTAGGAGAGAAAGATGGAATAGAAAAAGAAGAAAGTAAGGCATTAGGAGGAACTCTGGGTCAATCCAAACTGACATGGGCAAGCCAAAGAGAGAGAGCAGGAAGCCAGTAAGGCTAGGAGGGATAAAGGAGGAAACAGAAGCTGCTGAGGGTGGAAAGGGAGGGGGGGGTGTGACCTAGAGTTTAGTATTTCTCTTACAGCCCAGACCGTCCCCACCCCCACTATACAGTGAGTGAGGTGGCAGCCCCAGGGAACCTGGGCCATTAGCATCTTCAGCCACAACAGCTGTGGACAAGAGCAAGGAACTAGGAAGGGAAAGTAGCCCCAGTGGGTGTAGACCGAGGCCAAGAGGGAAAACAAAGCTGAAGTAGGAGGAATAAGGCCAACTTGGGTGTGCATCTGGGAGCTACCAGGCAAGAGCTGGAGCAAGCCTGTTCTTTAGACAAGTCACCTACCCAGGACCAATGGGCTTCCTCGACCCCTTTCCAGAGGATGTAGAGGGATCAAGATAGCTTTGGACCTATTTCTCTCCTTGCAGGCTGTAAGCTCCACCCAACAGTGTCCCTCACACTAGTAGAAGGGTGTGCCTACAAGCCACAAAAGGATAATAGGGCCATAAACAAATCAGTGTTAATAAAGACAGGAAGGAGAAAGGGATACCAGAAGTTGGGATCTGGCCATAACTGCATAATAACACCAACTCATATTCCTTTGCCCACAGTTTCCTGCCACAGCTCTGCTAAAGGCCATCAGGAAGTTAAAGAAAGTGACCAATCAGCATTACTCCAGAATAAACTATCACTTATTTCCTTCATTAAAAAAAAAAAAGTGACCAAATACAAGAAGTAAAAGGTAGTTTCTTACAGGCTCACCTCCAAACTACATTTAGGTTTATTTTGGAGAATTAAAAACTGTATGACAATACCAGCACTTAAAACGGGCTAAATATTCTTCCACTTTTTCACTTGCCCTTAGTCCCCATCCCAGGAGAGCCGTTACTGAACACTGTACTTCGTCCTGAAAAGAAATTCTATCATCCCGTTTGCTAAGACCTCAGCTCGTAGAGAAGGAGGAAAAAGTTCTGCCACAGCCATACACTTCCAAACACACAGACATACACAATGAAGTCCTCATCTTGTGAGACGGCTTTCTCTGGGAGCGTTCATATCCAGAGGCAAGGAATGACCAATAGTGTGCACATTTGGGAAAAAAAGGAAGCATGAACCTTTAAATTTGCTTAAAGAGACGGGAGATTATCTACTGGGCCAAAACAAGGTAGTGGCGGCTGGGGGAGAGCGGCGTTTTACACCCCAGCAGGGAGGAAGCTGTAGGGGTAGCAAATAGCAGGAAATGGCAAAAGCCTCAGGAATGTTTCCAGCAGGGAAGGTTGGGGAAGTGGCGTCAGGATGAATGCCAAACAGGAGTTATCTAGTTAGGGGGAGGGCTCTTTTAAAAACAACGGAAAAGGCACTAACCCCTACTCCCGACTCCAAAACAGTTTTTCTTCTGATGGAAAAAAACAAAACAAACAAACAAACAAAAAAAACCCTTTCCCTCCTGTTAGGTTCACACAAACCTAAACTTAGTGCAATCCAGCCACAGGTAGGAAGCACCTATGGCTGGCTGGCTGACCCAGGAGGGAGTGGGGTCGACAGTCTCTACTCTCAACCATTCTACAGCCAAAAATCGAAACCCAGCCCCTTCAACTTAATTCAATCAGAGGTTACGGGAGTGGGGGGGGAGTGCCAGCAGGACGCTGGCAATAATCTCCTTACAATCACATATTAAAACCTCCCACCTGATGGAGCACGAGAGCTCAGGAAAACTAAGCCAAGGCTTAAAGAAAGGAGAGGGATATAGGAGAGCGTGAAGCGTCCAGAACTTAAGGCTTCTCCATGTCCGGTCTTAAGTTCTGGACGAAGCCTCAGGAGGGGACCTGGTCCCTTACGAAGAGTGCGCCACATTCCCGGGACGGACGTGGACAGTGGAAGGGGCGGGGCCCAGAAGGGGCGGGCCCCCAGAGAGGCGTCACTTCTACAAAGCCGAACCGTTCTTTCAAAAGCAAGGTTTTGCCCCTTTTGGAAGCAGGGCTTTTGATAGACTAGGTTTAGTTGAGAATCCTGAGAAGAGAGTTTCAGAGAGCTGAAAAGACTATAATCCTGTGGAGCTAGGAAAACCTATCTAGGGGTAGGGTTTCTAGAGAAGTGGACGACAGGGTGTGGTCGCGACGCCAGGAGACAAATAGGGGTTCGGGGAGCCCCTTGAAGTTGGAAGGTGGGACTTCCGGGGAGAGGGTCTCGGGGGCGGGACTTATACAACACGACCGGAAGTAGGGTCCAGGGAGAGGGTTCCGGGGTGGAGGAGGAGTGGGTCAGCCACAGAGAGAAAGTCTACACTCACCAGGGTCGCATGGGAGTCTCGGCACCGGACCGCGGGCTGATCTGGTTCCGGATCACGTAACTGTCGGCTTAAGTCACCGCCCCAACTTTCTCCCCCGGCCTCAGCCTCCCCAGACAAACTTTATTACACTCACTTCCGGCCTCACTAACCCCTGACCCCCTACCTCGCCGTCCCTCCTTTACCCGTCTGCTTTCCGATGCTGGCCAATGGCTGCACGAACAGGCGCACGGGGCTCAGTAGGAGCCAATGAGAGTCCTAGTTTTGACCCAGCTCATTCTTCAGAAACCTGAGCACGGCACTCCATTTACGACTCGCGGAGACGCCAACGCAAGCCAATCGCGAACTTCAAAACGGAGCTGTCCCGCCTTCGGCCCAAGAGACCAATAGGAAGTGCGGGCGGTGTGTTTGAAAGCGAGGCCAAAGAGGGAGGGAGCGCGTGCTGCTGGGAGTTGTCTGGAGGCCAGCGGCGCGGGGCTGAGGGGCTGAGGGCCCTTGGGCAGACCGGTCATGTCGCACAAACAGATTTACTATTCGGACAAATACGACGACGAGGAGTTCGAGTACCGGTTAGTACCGGCGCGGGGACTACAGCCAAGTTGTGCGCCTTGACCAAAGAGAGCACACGAGGCGTTAGTGGCCCGGGGGGGGGGAGGGACGAGAGGGGGGGGAGAACCGGCGCGTGCGCAAGGGGGTTTTCTGGGGGGGGGGTTGCATTAGTTAGGCGCATGCGCGAAAGGTAGACGGAGGCCATAAAACAATGAAAGGGAATTTAGAGTCGACCGGTTGTTAAATAGCGTGTTAGGAGTTCTGATCAGCTTCACCGTTGGGAATTTCCACATCACTCGAATAACTGTTGGCGCAGGTTAATTTGCCTAGTAGGAATTGCTCGCTTTACCGAAATTCCAAAGTCTAGTTTAGAAAGTTGAAAATTTCGTGATCTCAATGAAAGGACAGTTCCGTAAGAGTTTCAGTGTTGGTTATTAGTTTATGAAAGAACAGGAGCGTGGTTGTCAGCCCTGTGTTAGGTAGAGGGTTCACAGGACTTGGAGTGGCATAGAGACTGTGGGCGTAGGTAGATGTCCTTCAAATACTTGAGCATTTATGGTGTGCACACAGGTTGCAAGTGTTCTGTTACGGTGCAGGCTAAACTAGTACGATATCTCACACCTTTAATCTCAGCATTCGGGACAGTGAGGCTGCAGGATTGCCACAAGTTCCACCCAGCCTGTACCCTGTCTCGAGACAACAAAGTGCAAAGTAGTGCATGGTCAGTGCTTATGACGAACTTAAAAATCCATGTATTACGCTGACTCCATGAAAAAGTAACTTCTGTTGTGCTAGAGCTGAGTACAGGTGTGAGGAGAGCTTCAACGAAGGAGGAAGGCTGGGGAACTTTCGCTAGAGGAGACGCCTGAGATGACATTCTTAGAACACAGGGAAGAGAAATAACATATGAGTCTAAAGTACTGGTTATCAGCTAAGGATTGTAAAGACATCCTTGCACTGAATGTGCAAGCATTTGGATGTGATAGTACCAAGTTCTTTAATTTAAATTGAAAATGAGAGAACACAAGTTCTACAAAGGTTGATATTACGCTGGTATGTATTGCTTGTAATACTTAAAGCAACTTTCTAGTTTGTATCATCACTCCTTCACTTAGAGAACATATAATGAAAATTAGCTTTCCTGTATCTCTTCACTTGTCCTACATCAGGCCTTTTGGCAGCCTGGAGAATTGATGTGTGTTGATAAATATATATATATATTTATATTTATTTATTTGGCAAGAAACCCCCCCCCACACACACACACCATTTTACTGACATCACCTGGGTCTCAGGAACTAAGCAGGGTCAAGCAGGCCTGTTACTTAGATGGGATAAACAGCCACATCCTTCTTGGATCCAATTAACTTTTGTTCTCAGCTGTTTCCCATGGCTGTAAATAAAACATCTTTCTTATGACATTTTCATGGCTGACATTTTCATCCCCAAGATTTAACTTTTAGCTTAGTGATGGCATTTTTGTTTGGGGGGGGGGGTGGGTGATTTGGTCCTGTGCATTGAAGTTACAATTTTGTGCCTGGGACTTGCTAGAGTGTGAATTCTTTTCTGACATGGCCTAGAATTACGGGGCTAGGGCTCTTGTTATTACTACAGAGGTAGCATTTAGTATATTTTCATTGAGCTTGATAAGCTCTACTTGAGTGGTCTTGAGTCAAGTCAGATAACTTTTTTGCCATTGACCTTTAGTTAGGAAAGCATGGGATTTCCTACGTGTTGTAGCACATCCTGTAAAGGTTAGAAAACGAGCCATGCAGTGATAATGCACGCCTTTAATCCCAACACCCTGGAGGCAGAGGCAGGCAGATCTCTGTGAGTTCAAAGATAGCCTGGTGGTCTACAGAGTGATTTCCAGGACAACCTCCTGTCTCGAAGAACAAACAAACAAACAAACAAACTGTTTCTGGCTGCCTCTGTTGCACAATATTCCACTGTAAGATCATACAAATCCCTGATATCAGGAAGTAGATGCTGCTTTAGTTTTCTTTTGGTTTGGGTTTTTTTTGTTGTTGTTGTTGTTGCTGGTTTTGTTTCTTGTTTTTCCCATAAGAGTGTTTCTCTATAGCCTGGAACCTGTAGACCAGGCTGGCCTAGAACTTAGAGATACATCTAACTCAGCCTCCCAAGTGCTAGGATTAAAGGCATGCACCACCATGCCTAGCTACTTGCTTGTTTTCACAGATTCTCTGTAGCCCAGAATAGTCTCAAACTCTTGTAATCCTCAGGCCATACCCCTGTGAGTGTCAGAATTACAGGTGTGAGTTACCACACTCAGCATGTTTTCCCTTGCTTGTCTTTGTATATAGGTCAGTTTATCCCCGACTAACACGAACTCTTCACATGTTTCTGTTACAGGCATGTCATGTTGCCCAAGGACATAGCCAAGCTGGTCCCTAAAACCCATTTGATGTCTGAATCTGAATGGAGAAATCTTGGCGTTCAGCAGAGTCAGGGATGGGTCCATTATATGATCCATGAACCAGGTTAGTGCAATTTAAGGAAGCTTCATTCTGACTGAAGAAAGATTACAAACCAAAGCAATAGAGGGAGGGGGTATCATTTTAGGGTTCTGTCCCTCTTTCCCTATGCAAAGAACCTAGTGTGACAAAAATGAGAGTAAAAACATGTAGGAAGATCAGGGACAACCTTACTAAAACAAACAAAAACAAGCCAAAACACCCCTGTAGTTAACTGAACTGAAGGGTACTCTTCAAGACCACATATACCCTGATTATGACCTCTGCAAATAATTGCATGTGTTCCAAACAAACATGGGCAATCTGTTTCGTGTTAAGACACCAGACACCCAGGCTGTATGGACAGCAGAGGAAAAGAATTCTGTTCATGGCAGAAAAGCCAGACTGGGGGCTGCTTCTAAGGCAGTGTGCTTATGTCTAGTTTGGTTGTGAAACTTGAGTGGGTGTGGCTGGGGGGGGGACACAACATTGGTAGAATACTGCTTGAATGGTGTGAGTTTCCTTCTTAGATTTCACCAATTCTTTCAGAACCTCACATCTTACTATTCCGGCGGCCACTGCCCAAGAAGCCAAAGAAATGAAGCTGTTGAACCACCTTTCAGCCTCAAGCTTTACTCAGCGGTCCTTCCTTCCTACCATCTTTCAGATAGCATGATTATGTTGCTCTCTTATTTTCTCATTTTGATATTTAAAGGATGTTCGTTCAGTATACTGTTTGAATGTGCTGGTACCTGCTTTGCTTCTTGAGCTGAGCCACCAATGCCACAACCTGTCAGATGAGTGTGACCTCAAAGACCTAGTGTGCTCTGTATCCAGCAGGCCATACTTTCCATCACTCTGAAGAATGTGAAAATCAGATCATGGCTGTTACAGGGGTGGTGTGAATTTGCCGTTGTGGTTTTTACTATTGGGTATTGTATTTATAGTGACTTATGGATTTATGTTTCAATGTATTGGAAACTTTCCATTTTATCTGACAAATCTCTTCCATGTTACAAGCTTTGATTAAAGGAAGTTTTTATAATCTAAAGCTGTGGTTATAAGGTTGTCCTATCCCTATGTCATTGTGTGTCCCCCACCCTCCATTGCCTCTGAGCCACTCCGCCGTCCTACAACCAAGGTGACATTCTGGAACCAGCCTTTCCGGTAGATGGTGAAAACTTGGCTCTTTGCAGTAATGAGGTTTAGTTGGATATTGCAATAACTAATTTATAATCTGTTTTAATTGGACTTACTGTAAAAACCTTTGTTGAGGGGCTGGAGAGATGGCTCAGCAATTAAGAGCACTGGCTGCTCTTCCAAAGGACCTAGGTTCAATTCCCAGCACCCACATAGTGGCTCACAGCTGTCTATAACCCCAGTTCCAAGGACCTGACACCCTTACACAGACATACTTGCAGGCATGTACCCCCCCCCCAGTGTACATTAAATAAATGTTTTTTTAAAAATTTTTTGCTGAAGTGTATTTCACTCATTACTAGCCTGAGATAATGGTTTTACTGGGACAGCCTTGTCTCATCAAAGCAAATTAACTGTTTCCTACAGTCAGAAGTTGTCATTTACGTATTTACAACACTTAAAGAGCCAGTGAAGATGGGGACAGGGAGTGGAGTGTTAAAGCTGTTCCCTGCTGTAGGACTCAAGCACCTGTGGCTTGTCAGATCTGACTAATGGCTGGAGACCTATTTCAAATGTGGTTGAGTATTAGAACTATCTGGACAGTTTCAAGTAATTCTTTGGAGTGACTGAAACATCTCAGCACACCTTTAGTCCCAGCACTTGGGAGTCAAGTCTCCAAAGTTCCAGGCCAGACAGGGCTACACTGAGAAACCCTATCTCAAAAAAAAAAAAAAAAAAAAAAAAAAAAAAAAAAAGGCAATGCCTTTATGCCAATACCAGCCCCTGACCCCTTAGTCTAGAATTAGCCTTAGCTAAAGAGAACAGTAATGTGTACACAAGGGTGAGAATGTGGTGAGGCGTGGTTAGCACAAGCCTTGAATCCCAGCGCTCCGTAGCAAGAGTTAGAGTTCAAGGCCAGGCTGTTCTGTATAAATAAGTTCCAGGGCTATACAGTGGGATCCTATCTAAATGTTTTTAGTATTTGAATGAAACAGAATCAGACCTTCATTTCCTTACAGTACTAGAAAGCGGCACCCAACAATCCTTAAAGAACCTCCCAGTAAGGTTCATTCGTGTCCCAAAGTCCCGTCCTCCACGGGCAAAAGCCCGGACCCTATTTTTATTTCCGGACAGCGATGACCACGTGGTGTTGCCAATAACAACTTAGCATTTCCTTCAGAACCTAGATAAAGCCCGTAAGCGACTGCCAGCTAGACCAACAGGACCATTGATAGGAGTAAGCGACAGCCAGAATAGCCAATCAACATAAAGTATTGTAAGGCGGGACTTTGACTACGGAAGCTGCCGTAGGACACGCGGAAAGGAAGGAGAAGGACCCTGTGAAGGGGCAGTATAGGCAGGTGGGATGATAGGAGATCAATGGTCTGAAGCCTGGTGAGATAAGCAAAATTCGGGCTAGAAAGGGTGCAGAGGTAGGTTGAGTTCTAGCCGGTGGCGGGCGGGAGGAAAGGAATGCCTTTAAAGGGGCCCGAGGCCCAGAATAAGACATTTAAAGGGACAGGTGACCTGAAGACGATACATTTAAAGGTGCAGATAATCCAGATAGAGAAAAATCCCAGACCTGCTCGGCAGACGGAGATATCTAAAGTGGTACGTTTTGAAAGAACATGGCACTTTAAGGGAATAGGAATCGAGACGCTTTTAGGAGCCTGGGACTTGAGAATACGTTAAAGATGCCGCAGTAAAGGAAACGTTTCTAAAGGTTGTGACTGGAGAAGATTGAGCCTTCCTCTAAGAAAGAAGTTATGCTCCTGCCCTCTTCCATTGTCTTTTCTGGCTCTTCTAGGTTCCCATGACCCCCGACTCTACTCAGGCTATGGCCCCCAGTATCCTGTAGACCTGGCAGCCCCTCAGTGCTTACGGCCCCAGTTTGGGGTTCTGGGTGGCTACTGGAGAGTCTTGCAAAAGATCAGAGAGGGCAAGACCATGGCGTCTAGGGCCTCTGAACTTCCTTCAGGACGCAGTGTGACGGCGGGCATCATCATTGTTGGAGATGAGATCCTTAAGGTGTGTCTAGAACTGAAGAGGGAAAGGGCGTGTTATTCTTTTAGTGTGGGCTTTCTTTCCGGTGAAAGGTGGTGAACCTGGGTAGGAATCCTCTTGCTTGTCGAAGTAGGGCCCTGTATCGAGTACTAACATATTGGAGGAAAAGTGACCCTCCTATTACTGAGTTTTTCTGTTGAAAAGATGGGTAGCACGTTTCCTACAACTTAGGATGAGGGGAGAGACACACAACAATTACAGGAGGAACAGTAAGTAGAGGAAGCACAGGTTTAATTATGTGTATCTAGCCTATTTGGGAGTTATTCCAGGAGTTCAGCAGACGGGATAGGCGAGCTAGAAGGAAGGTACTAGAAGAGAGGACTATTCTGGATGATCATGGATGTTACTAGAGGATATGGCAGGAGTAGATTTGTAACAGTAATTTTGACCCTGATCTTTTTTAGTGTTTACAAGAGGCTGGCATGCACTTATTTTATTACATGTGGCCTTACAAATTTCAAATCCACGAAGTTGGGGTTTTTATTTCAAATCTCAATAGATTATGAAACCGCCTCAAAGAGAAATTTGCCCAGTGTCACAAGCCTACACAGTGCCAGGAACATGGTGGTACAGACCTTCAGCCCAGCACTTGGAAAGCAGAATCAGGTGGATTTCTGTGAGTTTGAGGCCAACCTAGTTTACATAGTGAGTTCCAGGACAGCAGAACTACACAGAGAACCCCTGTCTCAAAATAAATAAAAGGAAGAAAATGGTAGAGATGGAATTCTAATCCAACTCTTCCTTACTCCATCCAGAGCACAAACTGAGACAGGATTTGACTGAGTAGCCCTGTCTGTCCTGGAACTCACTCTGTAGACTAGGCTGGCCTTGAACTCACCTGTCTCTGCCTCCTGGGTGCTGGGATTAAAGATGTATGCCACTATGCCAGGCTTAAAGGTTTTTATGTTTATGTGTCTGTGTGTCTATCTGGGAATGCCCACAGAGGCCAGAGGAAGATTCCCTAGAGCGGGATTAAAGGCTATTATTGTGAGCTGCCCAGTGCCAGTACTGGGAACCAGATTCTGGAAAAGCAGCAAGCATTCTTCAACTCTAGAACACAAGCATCTTCGTTTATTTTATTTTGAGACAGGTTCCAACACGAGTTTTTAACTACTCATCCCTCTATAAAGAAGTAGAAGTTAAAGCTGGGAGCGAAGGCAAAGAACACAACATAGCCAGCCAGCCTCTAATGATTGCAAAAGAACTGAACTTTATCCTGCATGCAAGTGGGAACAACACATGCATGTTTTTGAGCACAGAGTGATTCAGTGGTCACAGTGACACATTAGAAAGGTTACTTAGGAGACAGGGAGCAGAGCATAGTAGCTGGAGGCTGTCAGCATTGTCCAGGTGAAAGGCATTAAGGCCTAGCTTAAACGAAGTGAAAACAGGGAAGGGAGAAGATGGTGAGATTTTTCAGAAGTGGAGTTAACGAAATAAAAGATCTAACTAACCGTGAACAAAAGCCAGGGATGTGGTGAGACTGCCCAATAGGCACCTGAAGCCAGGGACTAAAATTGGAACTGCTGGGATTGGTGACAAAGTCGAAGAGCCACACGGAATTAATGATTGAGTCTATAAATATAGGTGAGGTCAAAAGCAAACTGCAAAATTGGCAACCAAATCCATAAGTGCAAGTGAGGTCAGATGAATGGATAGCAAAGCAGCCCCAAGGAGAATCCCCTCTGTCCATTTCAGATGTGTGTTCCCATTCCAGGCTCCTTGGCAGCCTAAGGAGGTCCCCCCAAAACAGAGCACCCCCCCACTAGACAGACGTAGCTATCTCCCGCTCTCCCTTCCTCCCCCAGCACTGACGATCTTGTCCTTCCTCCAATCCCTAGGGACACACTCAAGACACCAACACTTACTTTCTTTGCCGGACACTGCGCTCCCTGGGGGTCCAGGTTTGCCGAGTCTCTGTTGTACCTGATGAGGTAGCCACCATTGCAGCTGAGATCACCTCATTCTCCAGCCAATTCACTCATGTCCTCACTGCAGGGGGCATCGGCCCCACGCATGACGATGTGACATTTGAGGCAGTGGCACGGGCCTTTGGGGAGGAGCTCAAACCTCATCCTGAGCTCCAAGCAGCCATCAAAACCTTAGGAGGGGTGGGTTGGGAGAAGTTGTCACTGGTGCCCTCCTCTGCCCGCCTGCATTATGGCACAGATCCTCGCACTGGCCAGCCCTTCAGGTTCCCGCTGGTCTCTGTCCGAAATGTCTACCTCTTCCCAGGAATACCGGAGCTGCTGCGGCGAGCGATGGAGGGACTGAAAGGACTGTTCCAAAACACAGCTGTGCAATTCCACGTGAAGGAGTTGTACGTGGCTGCTTCCGAGAGCTCTATTGCCTCCATCCTAACTGAGGCCCAGGCCCACTTTGGGCGTAGGCTCAGCCTGGGTTCCTACCCTGATTGGGGTAGCAATTACTATCAGGTGAAGCTGATTCTAGACTCTGAGGAAAAAGAGCCCTTGGAGGAATGTCTGGCCTATCTGACTGCTCGTCTGCCTCAGGGATCATTGGTCCCCTACCTGCCCAATGCTGTTGAGCAGGCTGGTGAGGCTGTATACAAACTCGCTCAGTCAGGTAGGAGTCTCATTGGGGAAGGCAATGTGGGCCAGAGTCTGGGTTGTCCTCTAGATCTAGTAATGCTGCAGAGGGCAGGAACAGTAGAAGAGATTTGCTGTTGAGCCATTCATTCTTCCAGTAACTACTGACTACCTCCATTCAGCCGCACTGTGCTGGGTGGGGTTGTCGTCGCTTGTCAGAACAGGTGTGCTCTGCCTTGAGAAGGAATGGGATAGCTGCTAAAAACGTGATCATAGATGAGATGTGCGTCTGAAGTGGATTTCACCCCAGAGATAACAGCTTTGATCTGGGGTCAGAGAAAGGTTCTCTGAACAAATGACAAAACCTGAGTGGTGAGGATTTGGTTGGACCTGGGGGTTACTGGAAGGTCGCAGAGGATGGAAGGAAACCCAAGCACCCCCTACTCCCACCTCTCAGTCCCTGAGGTAGGGTTGAGTAGCAGGCAGGTGGGGGGGGGGGAGACAGACAGTGCAGGACAGCATGAAAGAGTGGAATTCAATCCCAGAATACTGGGAGGGTAGTGAAAAGTTTTGAGCAAGGGTATCATGACTTCTTTGACAGCCTTATATACGTAGTTGACATTCTCTTCCCTGCCTGCATGGCAGGATCTTGTCTGGGGAAAAAGGTAGCAAGTGCCCTGCAGACCATTGAGACTGCCCTCGATCGGTACCACCTCGACAAGCTCTGTGTGGGCTTCAATGGTGGCAAGGACTGCACTGCCCTCCTACACCTCTTCCATGCAGCTGTGCAGAGGTAAGACTACCCCTGGGAGCTTAGGCTCCAGAAGGAGCTACTCAAAACCTCTCCTGCTCCCAATCCTAGAAAGGGTGCACAGGTAGGGCTTGGAAGGTAGGTAGGTGGGTGGTCGAGCAGTGCCATTCCCACCATATTTATCGAGCATCTATGTAGTCAACCTTCCCCCGCCCCAGGTAAGTCAGAGCCTAGCTGTGCAGGCGAGATTTACCAGAAAGCCTATGAGCTGGCATGGTAGCAGTCAGAGGAGGGGGAGCGACGATGCCTCATCTGAGCTCAGGCACTGGAGGCTAGCCTAGGGAGTGTTAAGTATGGTATGCACCTCATATGAGCCTTGGTCAGAGAGTGTTGTATCCTCAGGGCCAGGACTTACAAATGGGTTGTGGGTTCTGAGAATGGAACCCCGGTCCTCTGCAAGAGCAACAAGTGTTTTTAATTGTTGGACTAACTCTTCAGCCCATGAGTTTTTTAAAGCCCTATCTTAAAAAAAAGTCTCAGCTGGATGCGGTGGTCAGTGTCTTCAGTCACAACAGAGAGGCAGTGGAAGCAGATTGCTATGATTTGAGGCTAGCCTGGTCTATAGTGTGAGTTCCAGGCCAATCAGTGAGACCAGTTTTTTTGTTTGTTTGAGACCCAGTTTTTTGTTGTTATTGTTTTTATTTATTTTTTTTTTTTTTAATTTTAGAGTAACAGAAATGATGCTTAGTTTGAGAGTGGAATGAAACAGGCAAACTAGCACATACCTTCTAACCCCAGCCCTCAGGATGCTAAAGCAGGATTGCACAGCTTAAGGCCAGCTGCTACATAGTGAATTACAGGACAGCCTGGGCTACACAGCAAGACCCTGTCTCAAAAAGCCAAACAAAAGGTGGGGGGAGCAGAGTGGGGGTGTTGATTCTAGGAGCCAAACAGAATACTGAGCTCTCTGGAGAGCAGCTTTCCTGTCCATCCTGGCAAGTCTGGATCCTTACTCTCCCCAGGAAATTTCCTGATGTTCCAAAAGCTCTCCAGATCATGTACATCCGTAGCATCTCACCTTTCCCCGAGTTGGAACAGTTTCTACAAGACACCATCAAAAGGTATTGGACCTGGATGTTTGGGCTCCACAAGGGTCTTGGCCGAGCCTGCCCTGAAGCTCATCTCTGTTCTCTTCCTCCTTAAGGTATAATCTGCAGGTGTTAGAAGCTGAGGGTAACATGAAGCAGGCCCTGGGTGAGCTTCAGGAAAAGCACCCGCAGTTGGAGGCTGTCTTGATGGGCACCCGACGGACTGACCCTTACTCTTGTAGCCTCAGCCATTTCAGTCCCACCGACCCTGGCTGGCCTTCATTCATGCGCATCAACCCGCTGCTGGTAATAAGACAGGACTGTCTCCCTCAGGTCCCTGTACCTTCTTCCCCTTGCCCACTAGGAGGAGGCTAGAGCCCTGGATCTCTGTCTCCCAAGGGAGAGAGTGTTATTTGTTCATTCATCCTTTTGATCAATATTGAACACTAATTCAGTGACAGGCATTGTGCTTTTCACTGTGATGGTAGTCAGGCTGAAGAGATGGCTCGGGGGTTAAGAGTGCTGGCTGCTCCTCCTCAGGACCCAGGATTCAATTCCCAGCATCCACATGGAAGCTCACAGCTGTCTGTAACTCCAGTTCCAGAGGATCTGACTCCTCACACCAATATGATAGTAGACATGTGTTCATACTTGAATTGGAATTGAAATTAAATATAGGGCTGGAGAGGTGGCTCAGAGGTTAAGAGCACTGGCTGCTCTTCCAGAGGACCCGGATTCAATTCCCAGCACTCACATGGCAACTGCCTGTACTCCTAGATCTGACATCCTCACACATACATGCAGGCAAAGCACCAATGCACATAAAATAAAAATAAATGAATTATTTAAAAGAAAGGAAATATGGATCGTGGTGCTGAGGGTGTAGCTCATGTGATACAGTGCTTGACTTGCACACCTGAAAATCAGGAACAGTGGCTCCTGCCTGTGATTCCAGCCTTCAGGAAAGTTATAAATTCAAGGTCAGAGCTGGCAAGATGGTTCCAACAGTAAAGACACATGCTGCCAAATCTGTTGACCTCACTTTGATCTCTAGGACACAGATAGTAGAAGAGAACTAACTCCCACAGCTTGCCCTTTGACCACACACATTCCCTGTGTGGGTGTGTGCACACATACATAAATAAATACAATTTTTTAAGGTTCAAGGTAAGCCTTGGCTACATTGTGAATTTTGAGGCCAGTCTGGGCATATCAGACTCTGTTTCAAAAATAGAAAGGAAAAAAGTACTAATGATTAAGACCACTAAGAGGCTGAGGAAAGAGGTTTGGTTATGTGACTTCAAGCCCAGCCTAGACTCACGGTGTCTTCTAGGCCAGCCTGAGTGAAATCCTGTCTAAAGAAAACAAAAGCCATGGACTATTTACTTTCAACGGGTGAAATTTATGGCATGTGATTCATGCCTCTTTTTTTACTTAGATAAAAATCTGGAACTGTTATTAGGGCTGAGGAAGGGCTCAGTTGGTAGAGTGCCTGCCTAACTTGTACAAAGCTCTGGGTTCGAGCCCCAGTACCACATAAAAGCAGGATGGAGCTGAGTTGGTAGCGTGCTTCCCTGGATACACAAAGCACCATACCTACCCAAGCCTGCCCGCCCCCCACTTGCCTTGTATTTCTCCAATCTAGATACCTATCACTGGGGTCTTGGGAGTGGCTGGAGGAACAAAAGCTAAAGGTCATTCCCAGCTGTATAGTAAGAGCAAGGTCAGCCTAAGATGAGTAAGACTTACCTAGTGGTGCATACCTCACCACCCAGCAGGTGGGAAGATAAGGCAGGAAGATGGCCATCTTGAGAAGTGCATAGTAAGACCCTGCCAGGAGGAAATGAGAGAAGAAAACACTTTGTTGTTGTTGTTGGAGACAGGGTTTCTCTGTGTAGCTTTGGAGCCAGCCTATCCTGGCACTCACTCTGTAGCCCAGGCTGGCCTCAAACTCACAGAGATCCATCTGCCTGCCTCTGCTTCCTGAGTGCTGGTATTAAAAGCAGGCACCACCACCGCCTGGCTAAGAATGGGTGTTTTGCCTGCATGATGTCTGAGTACCATGTGCCATGTGCACACCAGGTGTTTGAGGAGGCTAGAAGAGGGTGTCAGAGTCCCTGGAACTAGAGTTACAGATGGTTGTGAGCTGCCATGTGGAGGCTAGGAATTAAACCTGGGTCCTCTGGAAGAACAATCAGTGTTCTCAACCCCTAAGCTGATTTTTTGTTTTTTTGGTTTTTTGGTTTTTTTTTGTTTTGTTTTGTTTTTTTGTTTTTGTTTTTCCCCAGCCCTAAAAGTCACTTCTTAAGTTATACTAGTCACATTTCAAATGCACATGGAGATTGACACTTCCACCATGGCAGGAAGCTCTAGACTTAAACACATAGTCAGTCATTCACCATCCTCCTGGAGCTTCTACCACAGGGGCAATGGCTGGGGAATGGAAACTGAAGGGGTAAGGACTTTCCCTACCTCTCTACTTAGCCTGCACAGAGCAAGGTACAGCAGCCATCCAGATGGTAAGCCTTCCAGAGGCCAGGGGAACAAAAGTACCTTTGATGGGTCCATTCCCCCAGGATAGCAGTGGTAGGTGTGGTGAGGAGAGTTCTAGTAACTGATTGTCATTTCCCAGGACTGGACCTACAGAAACATCTGGGATTTTCTGCGTCAGCTGTTTGTCCCATACTGCATCCTGTATGACCGAGGGTAAGGTTGGGGTGTGTGTGTGTGTGTGTGTGTGTGTGTGTGTGTGTGTGTGTGTGTGTGTGTGTGTTGCAGGGCAGGGTGAGGGGTTGCTGGGTAAGGAGAACTCACCTATCATCTACATGCTTCTGTTTCAACACTCCAGGTACACATCTTTGGGGAGTCGGGAGAACACAATGCAGAACCCAGCCCTGAAGTACCTGAGCCCAGGGGGGCACCCCGTCTACCGTCCTGCATACCTACTAGAGAATGAAGATGAGGAAAGGAACTCCCGCATGTAATCTTACACACGCCAGGGACAAGACTGAGGGACCAGGGCTGGCCTGGGGTATAACCTGTCATGTCAGTAAATTGTACCTCACACACCATTGTTGGTGCCTGTTGCTCTGGCCATCCCTTCCTGCTTCAAGGTCAAGGGAAGCACAAGTGGCCCAAGGCTGCCAGCTCTGAACTGGCAATGCTTATTCCAGGGCCCAGGGATGGGCTAGAAAGAGAACTTGGGATGTTTTCTGTCAGCCTTAGCCAGAGCCACCAAACAGGAGGAGACGGCAAGACAGAACTGCCTGCTGGATGGGAAGTAGAGCTCTCCTGGCTGTGGAGGGTGAAAGATGGAGTAGCCAAGCCCTCCCTTCTAACCACCACCACCACCCCTGTCTATAGGGCTGACTCAGCCTATTCTAAGGCCTAGAACCTTCTTTTGCTAGACCCTAGAGCCTTTGTCTTTAGTCATGAGGCCTGCTAGGGTGGGGACAGTAGATAAAAGGCCCCAAAGGCAGCGTCCACGCCCTTCCACTGAACTGCTGGCCACATGAAGCCACCGATGCAACCCCTAACCCAGGCCCTGCCATTCTCTCTTGGAAATGTGCTCCGAGGCACTGGCCTCCAGGTGCCTGTCATTAAGATGGGCACAGGGTGGGAGGGCTTATGGCGAACCCTGAAGGAAGCTGCCTACATCCTCCTCTGTTGCTGGTGTCTCAAGGAACTGCTGGATTAGTGATGGCAGGGAAAACCTCCTGTCACCCCGACACCAAGACCTGCATCACTCAGGTGGGATGGGCAGGGCAGATGTCAGGAGCTGGGCTGCAGCTTCTGTGGTGGAACCTGCAGCCCAGCTCTCCCATCTTTTCTGTAGCTCTAAGACTCCCAGAGCCAGCTGGCCTTCACCAAGGATGGGCCACCAACAAGTGAAGAGTGAAATATGGACCCTGCTTTGAGTTGTTCATCTGTCTCACCTGCCTCAGCCTGGGGCATCCATCTCCAGCTCCTGTCTCTGGTGTACTTCTAGTAGGCACAAGCTTGGCTTGTTGGCTAAGATTCCGATGAGACTGTAGAAGGATCTAGTACTCCTCCAAAATTGGCACAGTGAGCCTACCAACCCAGATGATTGATCTGGCCATGTACTTGAAGAACCAGGAATGGACTGCCCCTAAGATCTCTGGTAATCACTGAACTACACATAAAATAAATAGGCCTTGAGGCCAGGATTTCTGAATGTCTCAAGGGGACTGTGGACATGTGTGCCTGGAAAGGGCTTTAGAACCAGAGTGCAGGCTGAGGAAGGAGAGATTCTGGATAAGTGAGGCTGAAAACCAAGCTTGTTGACTCTGGTGCTGGGATAGAAGAGCAAAACAGAAAGGCCAGGTTCCTCCCAGACTCTGTAATACAGACAAAATGGATAGAGCCATATTCTGTGAGGCTCAGGGTGCTAGGCCGGGGAACCAAAGACCGCCTTTGTTAAACAGGAGATGTGACCTAGGAGGCTCCCTGTCTCTAAGGAACATGGAGAGCATACTGAGTCCCAGTTCAGACAGCTATAAGAGAAAATACCTGTGTGATCACACCAGCCCTTCCAGCCTATCACAGCACACCTCTATCAGGACACAGTCTGAGTAGATGGGCGCCTCGGTTCCCCTTGGCAGCTACCAACATACGTTTTCCTTGAATCAACAGCAGTCCGTGTCCACGTATGTCAACTTGGTCATATCTATCACATCCTCACCCAAGCTCTTTCTCTCGACTATCGCTTTGGCCTAGCCATTGCCCGCCTCTTTCTTACCTGCAACACTGACCTGGAGATAATATGTGGTTCCTGTCTCCCTGGCTGGGACCAGCTCTTCTTTAGCCTTTTTCTCAATTCCTTTTTTCTCTGGGCCTTTTTTGTTTGTTTATTGTTGTTTGTTTGGTTAGTTGTTTGAGTTTTGGTGTTGGGGACTGAACCCAGGGATTTGCACCTACTAAACATGCTATACCATATTCTGATTTTTGTTGTCATACACATACTATATATGCTAGTTGTGGAAACCCAAATCTTCAATTCCAGCACCTGAAAGGCAAGAGGCAGATTTTGAGACCAATCTGACCTACATAGTAAGCTCTAGGCCACCCAGGGCTACAAAGTGTGATCCTCTCTAAAAATGAATAAATGAATAGTTCTATTTATTTATTTATTTTTTGGAGACAGGGTTTCTCTGTGTAGCTTTGTAGCCTGTCCTGGAACTTGATCTGTAGACCAGGCTGGCCTTGAACTCGCAGAGATCTGCCTGCCTCCTGAGTGTTGGGATTAAAGGTGTGTTCAAGTCTGGGTGCTTTGGATAAACAGGAAACCCTATTCCTACCAGTGGAGCTTGTATTCTAGTAGGCGAGAAGGAAAGCTCATCGAACTGTAGAATTAAGTATATAGATATTATTTGCTGATGGAGAAACAAAATAATATGGAGGTAAATATAAGCCAAGCCTTGTAGGGTAAGTTAGAGCATGGGCTTTTGTTTGCTTGCTTTTTGTTTGTTTTTATTTTTAAGATTTACTTATATATTATGTATACAGTGTTCTGTCTGCATGTAGGCCAGAAGAGGGCACCAGATGGTTGTGAGCCATCATGTGGCTGGCTGCTGGGAATTGAACTCAGGACCTCTGGAAGACCAGCTAGTGTTCTCTCTCTTTTTTTGCGGCGGGCCGGGGGGGGGGGGGTGTTGTATTGCTTACTCACTCTGTATACCAGGCTGACCTCAAACTCACAGAGATCCGCCTGCCTCTGCCTCCTGAGTGCTGGGATTAAAGGTGTGTGCCACCAACTCCCGGCTCAGCTAGTGTTCTTAGCCACTTGTTTTTGTTTTTAATTATGTGTATTCTGTCTGTGTGTGGGTACATGGTACAGAGGCTAGACGAACTGGATCCCCATGGACCTGGACCTGCAGGCTGAGCTGCCCAACCTAAGTGCTGGGAGTCAAACTCAGATCCTCTTCAAGAGCTATGAGTAGCTGGGTAGTGGTGGTGCACGTCTTTAATCCTAGCACATAGGAGACAGATGCAGGTGAATCTCTGTGAGTTTGAGGGTAGCCTGGTCTACAGATCAAGCTCCGTAACAGCCATGGCTACAGAGAAAAACCCTGTCTTGAAAGAATAAAAGCAGAACTAACAACAACAAAACACCAATGTTGTATGTGTTCTTGACCACCGAGCCACCTCCACATCCTATAATTTGAGTTTTTATGCTGCTTAAAATGAAGCAGAGCAAGGTGTTGAACACGAACTGATTTGAGAATAGACTTTATGGAGTAAGGGCACAATGTGAGCCCTGTAAAGAAGTAATCAGTAGAAGAATATAGGCCATCCATACTGGTGGCTCAGGTCAGACCTGAAGTGAGAAGTAGGCTGGATTCTCTGTGTGGTTTGGATTTGGTTCGGTTCGTTTGATTCTTTTGAGATAGGTTCTTACTATGTAGCCCAGGCTGACCTTGAATGTAACAGCCATCTTCCCTGCCTCAGTCTCCTGAAAACTGGAATTACAGGTATGTCTACCATGTCCACTTTTGAACTGACATATTTATATGGTTGATTGAATACTATGCACCTTACTTTGATGTGTAAGCTTTGTACAGGGCATCTTAACAGTACATTTAGCGCTTCCTTTTTTCTTTTTGAAAATTCCAGAGCTCTGGGATTACGTGTATATGCTTTTTTTCCCTTTTTTCTTTTTGAAAAAGAAAGGATTATTTACTAGTGCTCTGTGGCACCAGCAGCCAGTGTAGAATATAGCAGTAACAGAACAGCCTGCTTCCCATCTGAAATGTATTCTGGAACTCTGTATTATACTAGTAGAAGTCACTGCTTTTTATGGCTGTGGGCCAGTGCCCTTTTCTTGCTTTCTTTGATTTGATTTTTAAGTCAGACTCTCACTCTGTAATCCAAGCTGCCTTCAAACTTCAAATTTGTGGCAATCCTGTCTCAGCCTCCCTAGTCCTGGGATTAGAAGGATAAACTACCATATCTGCTCAGTACCTCTCTAAACACCCAAAGTGTGCCGGTCAGAACTGCTGCCTGGTTCCTTCTGAGCGTTCCCTCTCAACCCCAGCACTGCAAAAACAACTGTCTGACATGTGCTTGTGTGGGGGTGGGCACAGGTTCCCATTGAACCCAGGGCTCTCCTTCCTCTAGAGCCTTCCTATTACCCTTCCTAATTCAGCCCTGACCTACTGCCTTTGGTTTTTTGTTTGTTTTTCTCCCAAGACAGGGCTTCTCTGTAGCTTTGAAGCTTATGCTGGAACCCAATCTGTAGAACTCAGAGATCCACCTACCTCTGCCTCCGGAGTGCTGGGCAGCCCTGCTGCCTTCTTTTCCTTAAGTCCTACTCAATTTAAGCTGAGCAGTACCTAGAAGTGGAGCCCAGAGTCTCCAGAGTCTGACAACTGAGCACAAAGTCTTTTGCCAGAACAGAGGATACTTGGCAAAGACTACTAGGGAAGTGGTGGATAGAGGAAGCAGAGGCCAGCCAGGGCTGTGTGCTGTGGTGGGGTAGGGAGTAGAGAGCTGGACAAAGGAAATCATTGGGATAAAGACTGACAGACGCCCAAGGAGAGCAGTGGCTGGAAGAGCTTCACAGTGGAAAGACACATCACCCAGTCCGAACGCTTCAAGCTGGGTGAGGTACTTTTAATCCAGTACCTGGGAGGTGCAACAAAAGGGTTACCTCCAGTTTAGGACCAGCCTGGCCTACATAGCAAATTCAAAGTCAGCGTAGGCTACAGAGTGACCCACCCTTTCTTAAAACAAAATCATTGTGTGTTGCTGTTTTTGTTCCTTGGTTTTTCAAGACAGTGTTCCTCTAGGTAGCCCTGGCTATCCCAGAGCTCAACTCTATAGACCAGGCTTGAACTCACAAAGATCCACCTGCCTCTGCCTCCTGAGTGCTAGGAATGAAGACATGCACCACTACTGCCCAGCTGACAAAATAATTTTTTAAAAAACAAAATCTCCATGTGTACCTTTGTCCAGCCTGGAATTCACTATGTAGATGAGGCTGACCTCAAACTCATAGAGATCTGCCCATCTTTGCTTCCTGAATACCTGGCTCAAGTATTTTTTTAAAAGT